TGACCGACTGACACCCTCGCCCCGACTGACCGACTGACACCCTCGCCCCGACTGACACCCTCGCCCCGACACCCTCACGCGCTGACACAGCCTCACGGACCCTCACACACTCTGACACACGCATAAACTCCCGAACTGACTGACACTCTGACGCACACTCTCTCCTGTGCACGCTGGCAGGCTCGCGCAGGCTGACACGCACACTCACACGGGCTGACACACAAACACACGCTCAGAGATGCTAACCCCAGCCCGGCAGGCACCTTTCTGAGCTGTTACACGCTCGCAGACACGTTAGGCACACACACGCAGAGCGACCCTCGTTGCCTGCCCACGGCCAGGGTCACAGGCACACTCGTGGCACTTACACCAGTGTCCCGTGCTGCCTGCGCTCACGCTGGTGGGCAGGCACGCTCGTGGGCACTGACGTGTTCTCACACTTTCGTGCTCATGCTCCATTAGGCACTTACACACTCACTCACATACTCACAAGCCTGTATGCTTGCATGCTTCTAGGTTTTATATGCTGGCTTAGATACTCATGTGCTTGTAGGCACTTACGTGCTTGTGGTCATACGCTCTAAGGCACTTACATGCTCACACGCTCACACTCATGCTTGTGCTGCTAGGCCCATTTGCTTGTGCTCACACTTGTAGGCACTTGTGCTTACTTGCACTTGCATGCTTGTATGCACCTATCCAAGACTATCCCTCACTACCTGCCCCACACCCATGCACACCTGTGGGTGTACTCGCATGCTTATAAGAATTTGCACTCCCCTTCATGCACGCACACTCGTAAGCACCCAGTATTTCCCTCATTCCTGCCTGCATGTGCACCTGGCAGCACGCTCACGGATGCTTCTTCACCCCAGAGTGTCTCTTGCTGCCTGCTCATGTGCACGCCGTGGGCACACTCACACAGCAATACACACCCCACAGTGTTCCTTGTTGTCTGCCATTCACACACACTGTGTACACCCTCATACTCGTGCACCCTCACCACTTGCCACTGTACACACACACTCTTTTGTACATGCTCGCATATGTGTACTCACACTTAGTGTATTGTAGTGCTTTGCTACCCACACATGCCTGTATGTATGTGCTCACATTGTATTGTAGTCTGCGCTGTCTGCCACTTTTACACAGTCACATAGGCAATCCCACCACTGTATTGTAGTGTCCTTGCTGCCTGCCACATGCTTGCATACACCTGTATATATGTACAGATACCATATGCAGTTATACCAGCGTATCACAATTTCCATCTTTCTTGTTACTTGCACGCATATCTTTCTCCAGCCCCTTTCTTACAGACTCACACCAGCATATTGCATAGTCCTGCTTGCACACACACGTGCACCCTGTGCTATTCCTCAGTCTGTCTCATCTGTGTGTGTACCTACAACCCAGCACATCACTGAGGATCCCACTGGATGCTTCTCTCTTAAACACACGCTCACGCACACCAAGTTTGCCATTGCATTGCGCGCATACACTGACACATCAGGGATTCTTCCACTGCCTGCCACTCATGCAAGCAGACTCCGTGGAGTCTGCTGTCTCTTTCTTTTACCCACATAAAGGTTTATCTACCACCTCTCCACCATAAGGCCATATTCTTTTTCAGTCACCTTTCTCACAAGCAGGCCGTGGCTCTTTGAAACACACACGTAAATATACAGCCTTTATGAGTCCGGCTTTCCTGTACACACGCACCATAGGATCACCCTCTTTGTGGCATGTCTGTACAGAGTGGTGCTACTTTCTGCTTCTGGCACATGTAACAGAGTCCTTTCTGCTCCACACTCACACCTCTGCAGGGCATCTGCCACCTTTTGCACATGTGTGATATGGTCACCCACTATCTGATACTGCACAAGTCTGCACATTCTGTCACACACTCAAGTGACGGAGCCACGTAGTACCTGACAGACATACGAACGCACTCGAGGGCTGTCAGTTACCACAAGGCCATCTGTCTTACTCACACAGGTACATATACTTATATATATGGAGCTCTATATGTTTCCGACACACCCTGGCCCCATGTTACCTGTCACATGTAGTGCTCCCTATCAGTATGTGTATTGCACAAAGCTTTAATTTCAGTTAGTTCCCTCCTCCACTTTCTACTACACAGAGAGGCATCCTTTTCCCTCAGTCCATCATATATTTAGTCCAAATTGCAGTGCCATTTCATACTTTTCAGTCACTTACACCATATAGACACCTGCCCTCCAGCGTGTTCACTCACACAGCAGCACTGCCCTGCACTTCACGCACACTCTGACATGCACAGTGCCACCCTCTCACCTACGACATAAACATGGTCAGTGCACCCACGTGCAGTACAAAGCGGACCTACTGCGGGACGCGATTAGAGGTCTCCCCTCCAAGTGCTGCCCTGCATATCTCCACAGTTATGCAAGGTAGACATGGCTCTGCAAACCCCTACCCCAGCTCGATGGGGGCTGTGTTAACTGACGCATGCCGCCCGTTCGTCATAGCACCCCGGGCTGTGCCGCGCCTGGGTACTGGTAGCGCTGGCCCAACCTCTGTTTGCATACAGAGAAGAGCCTGCCATCTCCTTATCCCCTGCTCCGTGTAGTGAACGCTCAGTTTGTTGCTGTATGTTTCTGAGTGGCTTTTGTCCTTCTGTGAAAGCTCCCTGTTCTCTGAAATTCATGCTGTCTCTTGGGTTCCACTTTGCAGACTGTTGAGCCTGGTTCATGCATGCCTGCTGGTTTTGAGTGGCATCGACCCTCTTAAATGAGTCTTCTTTTTGAAGTGTAAGGGTAAAATACTTCTCAATAATGTTTTAACTGCTTAGGGTGACATTGACACATATATTCTCCTTTTTGTAGATGCCCTGGTCTAACTCTTTTTTTTTGCTTTTATAGCTGGAGCCATACATGGATGAAAACTTTGTTTCAAGAGCCTTTGCCACCATGGGAGAGCTTGTACTGAGTGTAAAAATCATTCGAAACAGGTTGACAGGGTAACTGTTTATGCTTGTTCTCAGTTTGTTCTACCAGTGCATTTGGATTGAACTGTTTGCCTTCTGTACGGCATCGCTGTGGTCCTGTCCAGATTAGAGTGATTTTCCCTTTGAGCTTTTCACCATTGCTGCCAACAATATGGGTATATTGATGATAGCAATGGAGAGGACAATTGCTGGCTCTTTGACCTCACCATCAACAAACCTCATGTTTGGCCCTCATCCTGCAGTGCTTCAGCAGTCATTCAGAGCAGCATATGTATGCCATACAGTCCCTCTGGGAACTACACCTCCTGGGCTGAAGGCTTCAGTGACTAGTCTGTGTTAATCGTTGCACTAGTGCAGCTACGTGATGCTGGCAGAGGTGGGAAGTCTGACTTAGAAAGAGCAATATGAGAACCTTTGGAGTTCATTTGGAATAAAATGAGTGACTGTAAAAAGAATAAAGTAGTTTCATATTCTTGTAAATGTTGTAATTTCAGTTTTCAATTAATTTAAACTTGGGTGGGAAAATTTATAGTCAATGAAAGTAGGAAGTAAACTAATTGTGAGCAAAACTATTTTCTATGTGCTTATGTTGACATGACTTACTGGTAAGTAGGGGCTATCGCTTTCCTTGAGATGCAAGATTACTTTGCTAGCTTCTTTTTGGTAGCTAATGTTTATACTCTGAAAAAGAAATTGTTTTAAGTATTGCAACTATAGCAAATTTCCTACCAGTTATCTAAAAATATGATATTCCTCCTCAAATGTGTTTTTGAACTGAAGTCTTTCTCTCTCCTCTCCTATGTCATATGTTCAGAATTCCAGCAGGCTATTGCTTTGTAGAATTTGCAGATCTAGCTACTGCAGAGAAATGTTTACACAAAATCAATGGAAAACCGCTTCCTGGTGCTACACCGGTAAGTAAATGAAAGCAGCCAGTTGAGAACCAAAACTGGGAAGGAATAGATAGCGTAGAATCTGTATTTTGAGTGATTACAGGCAAATTCCATAGCTGGCAAACTGGGATTCTTCTTTTCTTTAAAATAATGAACATAAAACTATTAGTGTTCTGATTTCTATGTGAATGTCTGGATAAAATCCAGGTATAGAAATGTTGTGATGTGTTTTTTCATTTCTGACCCTGTCTACTGTTACCAAAGTTGGACTAATGAGAAACCAGAGAAGAACAAGGAAAAAATAGATTGAGTATACCTACCTCAGTCCTGTCTCTCTCCGTTTGTAGTTCCATATTAATTTGTTACAGTGTGTATGTTGATGTATATGTACAAGATGAACTTGCAAGTTCACACTGAGTTTTGAGTAACTTTGATTTGCCAGAGGAACATAATTTTTAAGCCTTCCATTGTTCTTGGCCCTTAGCAAACAAAAGTTATTCAAACCTATTTACAGTGGAGAAAGAGCTAGACCATTGTATAATTGCAATACATAACAAATATCTCGGATACATAAAAGCTAGGTAGTTAAGAAGAAGAGGAGAAATAGTCATAGAGGCTAATTTTAGGATGTTGACTCGAATGTTTAGTAGATTAAAATGGGACGGCTGACACAGCTGTCTGTTGTACCCACAGAAGTTGGCTGCAGTAGCTAGGATGACTGGTTCATAAAGCAGCTCTAGAATCACCTCAATTACGGTGTGATGTAGTAAGGTAAATTGATGCCTATTTCAATGTAGTTAATACCCTGAGTAGGAAACCTGGAAGTTCAGGTTGAACTATTTGGTCAGCCTTCCTGAGAGGATGGTATCCCCCATTAAAAGGGGTAGATGAGAGGCCTGGAGGTATCTGTTTCACCTGTCCTGTTTAATATGCAAATCAGAGCCCATGAGTAAGGGAAGCTAATCTTCCGAGGTGCCTTCTGTAGTCACTAGAGAGAGAAAGAGAGCAGCTCTTGCAAGGAGTAATATAATAATTGAAGGTTGATTTCGGGAATACCTGTCTTTATCCACAGTTTAATTTGAACTGTGGTGTTGTGTAGAGGGATGATTTACATAACACGTGGAGAGAATTACAGATGTCAGACACGAGATCCGATGTAAGCAGCCTAAATCAGTGCACTCAGCAGGCAGCTGTCCAGCTCGTCTCTTGCATTTAGATACTTTCTCTCTTGTTTACACAAAACTGAGTGTGGCTCACTTTTATTTATTTTTAAATACTGAACCAGCCAAAGGAATAACAGAGAGCCACAGTGCTGTTGCTGTCTCTGTTTTACAGAGTTAGTGTCCCCAGTTCCCATTTGAATGGAAGTACTCTCGGTCTTTCATTGATTTTAAACCCAAAATATTTCTACGAAGAGTGAGATCCAAAAAAAAAGGTGAAGGTGCTTCAAAGTGCAATCTAAATTTTGTACTAGCTTGTAAATGGTCCACAGAAAGAGTTGTGTACCACTGTGCACCAGTGAATGCAAGCATGCAAGGAACATGATTATAGCCTAGAGTTAAGTCTTTGCTCTATTTCCCAATAATTATTTACGCTATCTTTGAAGGTAGAAAATACATCATACAAGGTACAGGAGCACACTAGGCTTTCCACTATACTAAAATGTCCTGATCTCTAGGTTATGGATTCACAGTAGGCTTGCTTTCTTTGGCCAAATTCCCCTTGAATTCTTGCTATGCCATTGTGTAGTGCAGACAGATATCTGCTTTGGAAGCCTGTTGGGAGATAGAAAAATGGTTTTGAAGCCCCTCAAGCTGATGAGGGGATCCAGCTTAGGTCTTACACTCTCTGGATGAGTTCAGACACCAGTGTTCTTGTAAAGGAGTGCAACCCTGTACAGCTTCTTCCTGTCAGACATGTTTCAGAAGAAAATAGCAGTTACCATTGGACTCTGTAGTGAACCTGCTTGGGTTATTGTGTGCTAAGCACCATATAAGAATGCCCATGGGATTGAGACCCTTGGGATTTTGAGGCAGGAGATCAGCTGCTCCTTAGATCTTGGGCTAGACTTAAATGTGAGTTGGGTACAAGTTGCTGAACCCTACCGGATAGGGGTGGGGAGTTCCAGATGTGCCAGTTGGCACAAATCTAGGCTCCTGGGAAACTTGTTTTAAAAATAAAATCAGGTGCAGTTTAGGGAGACCTTTAGTGTCCAATGATAGGTAATTCTTAAAAAAAACCCTTAATTTTGGATCTTACTAAATGAGCACATCATCTTGAGCAAAGTATTTAGCCATACTTCCAGACTTGGGGGTTGATTCCATTTTCCCGTATGGCTGATTCTGGTCTGCCAGTATTCATATAAATCGCAAATGTCCAGTGGTCTGTGCTGTCATTTCATTTTAAGACCTTGAAGTCATTTAATATTTGTCATTGGTACCTCTGCTTTCCTGTCTTCCTTAAAGATAAAAAAATTTGATGCTATGTAAGGTTCACCTGTCTCTCGCTAGCTTTATAAACTGTTGAAATAAAGATAGGCCAAACCTCTTGGTGCAGGTTCTTTGCTGCTTTTCATTAGTATAGCTGTACTGATGTCAAATAAAAATGTTGTCCTTGATACCTTAACTGGCTGGCCTGATGGCATTGAACATCTGTCAGCATTAAGAAAGTTGTGTAAAATCAGCTTATTGTATTTTTTCCTAATTGTTTGGATTCACATGAGAACATTTGAATGTATGGATTCATTTTTGCCTTCTTTCAGGCAAAGCGATTTAAATTGAATTATGCAACATATGGAAAACAGCCTGATAACAGGTAAATGCTCAATATTTAAATATTAGTTTTGCCTGCTTAATGTCTCTTTATCAATTGCCTTGCAGAGAGTATTCAAAATATGTAAACCCACAAGTTCATCATTGCCAGTCTTTAGCAGAGGGAGGGTGACTTAGATTGCCTGTCAGTTTTATGCTTTGCCTTTTGTGTGGCACAGCATATTTGTCATGAGTGTCTTTTTAAGGTATTTAAACTTTGTAGCATCAAAGTATCTTAATTCTTATATTATAATTTAAAATCAATGATTGGAAATAGCAAATCTATAATTGAGACATTAATGTTTTCTTGCCATGTTAGAAATCCAGAGATATCCTGTGAGAAATAAGCAATGAAATTATCTTGAAATAAAAAGCAGTATTGAGTAGATTGGTTGTGCTGCTTGAATTAACTTGAAAAAGCAGCGTCAATAAAAATTTTAGTCACCTAAGCAACTTAACTGGCGACACTTTAAAGTATCCGTTAAATGGTCTTTTAATATCGCTTTTCTCTGAAGTCAAATGTTTAGGCTAAATGTTAGCTGTCACTCAGCATGCCTCTTTTTTTTTATGATAGTGCTTAAGAAGTTTTCTTTTGATTTCTTTAGTCCAGAATATTCACTTTTTGTGGGAGACCTGACTCCTGATGTGGATGATGGCATGTTATATGAATTTTTTGTTAAAGTTTATCCATCGTGTAGAGGTGGAAAAGTTGTTTTGGACCAGGCAGGAGTATCCAAGTAAGTCATCTTTTATTCATTCTTTTCTTTCACTTCACATGCAGCAACAGGAAAGATATAATGCAGCAAGGGAAAAGGAATAGTTCTGTCAGCTTAGATTTTAGTAACCTTAAAATACAATGTTCTTGGACATTCAGTCTACAGCATGCTTGGGTTTTGATAGTCACCACAGTGTATTGTCACTCCTCTGTCAGTGTGATGCCCTTTGTGTATTGGCAGTATGTTATTGCACTTCTGAAAATGCTGAAAAATGTCTAAGTAATCTTGAAACACTGTCTTCCCGAACTCTCAGGATGGAATTGTGCTTTTACAGTCTTTAGGCTATTGAGTGTATATTCCTGTGAAAGCTTTGCAGGTTTGTGTTTCAAACAGGGTAGGGCAAACAAAGCTATGATTCATTGTCAAGTACTTAGTAGCCGCCTTGTTCATCCTTACTGGAAATGTCTTGCCAGAAACAGATGTCAAAAAGTCAGATTTCTTAATGTTATTAAAACTTCTTCTAAACAGCAGAAAATGAAACTGTATTTTCCTAGAAGAGGGACCAGTTGGTGAGCACCCTTGTTTTCAAAACGGAACGTGGCTTCAATGAAACACAATATTCTGATGTAATACCTATGAGAATGTTGTGATACAACTTAGACTATGGCTGTAGATCTCCCCTCTTTCTCACAGAAGGTTTCTCAGTCTTAGACGTGTTGGTTTGAAGGAACCTCTGGAGGTCTCTGGTCCAGCTTCCCACTCTGAGCAGGACTGCTGCCAATGCTAGATCAGGTCAGCCATGAATTGTGTAGCCTGGACAACGTCCCAGGATGGAGATAATACAACCTGTCTGGGCAGCCTGTTGCAGAGCTGCACTACCTCCCTAGTAATGAAGTTCTTCATGTGCATCCTGAACCTCTTGCAGAGCTGCTCACTCACTCTCTGGCTATTAAGCACTCATGCTGTTACTGCCACCTCACCTGAGACCAGTATTGCCGGGGTGGGCTCCAGGTGCCTCCTCTTCCTCAGAGGTGTAAACCTAGCAGTTCTTCTTTTGCTGCACCTGCTTCAATCTTTGGCTACAAAATAGGTGTTGGGTGACGCAGGTTGGGCTATTAGCTGGGCTTTGGGAACTGTTTGTAAGTACAGATCTTAGGGAAGGAGAATCTGTGGCAGCTTGGGAAGGGAGGAAGGAGCAGGGACTTAAAGACCTATTGCTGCGAAGAGAACAACTATCTCCCCTAGCAGTGGCAGGGTGTTGCTGCCAGGGGCTTTGTTGTGACTTGTGCAGTTACTCAAAGCTGAGGCAACTGCAAGTGTTAGTGTAATGCGAGAGAGGAACTTGGGGCTTGCAAATGTGCCTAGTGAAGCTCTGGCCCTTCCAGCCAGGGCTGGTAGATCAGGAAGGCCTCCTCCCAGCACCTCTTGTCCAGGCAAGAGAGGAGCTTGCAGCCTGATGCCATAGTGCTGTGCCTGCTTCTTTGCTTTCTGCTGAGGGTGCAGGCTGGGGGCTTCTCTTAACTACAGGGACAAGACAGAATGTCTGCCAGGGAGGTCCTGGCCACAAAGAAATGATTTCTTAGTGGATTTTCTTCTGTACTAAAATCTGGTTTAGCCATTGGTGCGAAAAAACTAAGTGTCTGGAAAAGTTGGAAGAATCACTGGCTTCCTTGCTGCACTACATCCAACTCTTTATCTGTCCATCTCTATTTTGGAACGGCCAATATTACCCGTTTCACTTAACCATTCCTGGTCCCATCCGAAATGCTGCAGGAGCCTTTGTAGCAGCTTAGAAACTTAGACATTTTGGTGTGCGAACACCTAAAACTGACTTAAAAGTTGACTTGCACTGGTTTTATTTGCCGTAATCCTTTCACAGAGAGCAAGTTAAACAGAATGTATACTGATGTAGAGTTTTGCTCTTGCTTAATTATCCAGTTTGTATATAAATAAGCCTGAGCTTAGGTTTGGTCTCCTGTATGTGAGGAGTACACATACATACATGCATATATGTATAAAGATACATATTTGGACTCGTGCGTATAGCTTGCTATGCAAGATACCGCATTTTATGGGGCATGAACTGCTCTGTAATAGCTTCCAGTGTGGACCTACTATGAATACTAGGTGATGCTGCTTTCAAAACAGCATGTTACTTGGTGTTTAAGAGTTTCCACAGAATAGATATGCTGTAAATTTACACCCTTGCTTACAGCTCGTTCTTTTCCCCAGGTAGACAAGCCCTTTCCCTCCCAAACTCCTTCCTTCACCTAGATGGATACCTCTTTCCCTCCCACACCTAAGTCTTTGATCTTTCTGCTGCGTGAGGCGGCCCATCCCATCTTGGGATCCTGGCACTGCCGTCTTGGATGCTGTTGCATTGCTTCTGACTCACTACAGCATCAGAATCCCACGCAAAGGACCTTTGGGGTTGGAGGGGAGTTAACATTTTCTGTCTGGCTGACATATAGTACTGCTAGCACTGCAGTGAGGGATTGCTAGAGTCGAGGGGTTGCTGGCTGTGTCCTGTCCTTGTTCAAGTTGTGCTATCAGAGCAAGTTTTAGCAACTTGATGTTAAGAGCTCGTTTTCAGGTCCACTGTTGAGAATGCTGATGGGGCTGTGCCATTGTTAGGAATGACAGAAAGCCTATTTGAACATTTTCCTGTTGAAAAAAGGACTTGATTGGAAAGTGTATCTCAGTTGATCCTACAGAAAAGCAATGTTTTCCTTCACAGTGGGGCAGTTTTAGATATAAACAGTGCCTATGTCTTGTCAATCCTGTGCTGACTTGCAACTGTTTAGATTATCTGTATCCTCCCAGTATAGATTTGAGGCTTTGCTACTGTCTGTTCCTGCATTTCAACATGTCTTGTGTCAGCTCACTTCCAATTCCCCAGAATCCACTGGCACAAGAATTACTTTACTTTAGTCCAGCCCTTGAAAGTACTGCCAAAGCTTGGACGTACAGTTTCAAGCATTTTGCAAAAGCAACTGGCAGGTGCAATCATTTAATCTCTACTAAAAGCAGGGACAGCCCTAGCCAAAGTGTTTCATTTGCTCTGTTTTTTAAAACCAATTTTGACTTCACTGTAAATATTTTTTAAAAAGTGGCACAGCTTTTTTGTTTTTGTTTTATATGAGTTATTCTGTATCTCTTTAGAGGTTACGGGTTCGTGAAATTCACGGATGAACTGGAACAGAAAAGAGCGCTGACAGAGTGTCAAGGAGCTGTGGGGTTGGGCTCTAAACCTGTACGCTTGAGTGTGGCTATACCAAAAGCGTGAGTATAAGAGCAGCCAGACGTTTGTATAAGAGGACCTTGATGTGAAATCATGTGTATTTTTAAATGTCTTTTAGTGGTTTGGATACATTTCCTGGATGTTTCCATCACAAAGTGAAGGAATACCCACAAATATAGTAAAGTAGCTAGAGTATCAGAGTGCACAGGAATTAAAAAAAGTTGTAACATTAGATCAAGACTAAGCATTTTGCACTGTTTTTAATTGTATACATTATTAAATACACACACATGTACACACACTGTATTTAAATATGATTATTTTTAAAGTATATGTTCCTTTGCATTAAATTGAAATAGTCTAAATCTGCTTATTGATTTTTGGATAGCAAAGCTCAATTACCTTGCTAATTCTATTATAATGTCTACTAAATATAAGTCTTTTGGGGCAGGGATTAACTTTTTTTTCTGTGTTTGTTCAGAACCTGATACAATGAGATCCTGGTCTGACTTGGGGCTCGTAGCACTAGGGTAATACGAATAATAGTAATTGCTCCCTATTTGAATAATATTTAGATTTTCAGCGACCTCAGAAGTCTTGGGGGGATAAGGAAGAGAAAAGCAGAAAAAGGGGGTGTATCGTGGTGAGAAGATTGATGTTTCCCTCTTCCTACTTCTCACTAATTTCATCATTAGACATAGCTTTATGTGTGACATATTTCATTTTCAAATTATATTTGTCATCTCATTATTTCAAATCTTGATAACCAGGTGGGATTCCTAGTTCCTTGGGAATGCTGCCACTTTATGGCAAGGAATGGGAATTTTAGTCAGCTCACAGGCTATTTAACTTTATTTTTTTAATTACTTGTAGTCCTTTTTACTTCATGAGCTCTTCCAACTATGTGCATTGAAGACCACCCAGTTCAGTGAGAACGGGGACAACAAGTTTTTGCTTAGGCTTCTGTTCAGTAGTAGCAGAAGGGAGAGGTTTTTGTCTATTCTTATTAAAGAAAACCCCAGTTCCTTTGCAAGGCTCTAAATCTTTAACTCGTCATGTAAAGCAAGACTCAGTACCTTGTCTCAGGAAGCTGCAGAGTACTTAACTTCATCCTATTTATCAGAAGGAAAAAGGGACCCAAGAATCTGGATCATGGTTCAGGATTATTCTAAACTGAGGTTCATAGTCCTGAACACTTCCCTTCCCAAAGCCAGGAAGTGATACTATATTAACTCATAAAGGATGAAAGCAATGTTTATTAATGAAGATGAATATGAATACAGGAAAGGGCGTTAAATGTAAACCACTTCTTTCTTTCTGCAAATGTATGCAAATGATAACTACTGCTGCAGTAAATAGTGAATATATTTTAAAGACTGAAATTTGCATGTTAGACTAAGCCTTGTCTATGTACCATATTGTATCTTAAGCTATTTCACTGCTTTTTTTCATAATTGTTCTGCATTATTTGCAACTTATTCCTGCTTTATTTTTTTAAGTAATCGTGTGAAACCAATGGAGTACAATCAGATGTACAACTATAATTATAACCAATATTACCAACAATATCACAACTACTATGCCCAGTGGGGCTATGACCAGAACACAGGCAGTTACAGCTACAGCTATCCCCAGTATGGATACACGCAGAGCACAATGCAGGTAGGACAGCGCAATGTACTTGCTCTTCAGTGGTTTGTCAGCACAGAAACATGACATAGCTTATAAAACGGTGATGGGCACATTTTCTCTTCAAGCTCTGGGGTCTTAGTATAGCTTCTTGATGAGGAAGCAAAACTGTTCAGCAGACCCTGGTGTGTACTGTTGCTTTATGTTGGGCATATTGCTGGGACTGGAGGGGTAAAAAGGTCTGGAGGACACAAAGTGTCTCTTAATGCAGTTGTCAAGGTAGAAGGGTTCTCTTGATATGGGCAGTTGGACAGGCAGTGCTAAGACTGCCTTCTGGGATTCTTCATAAGCCTTGTTTTAGAGGGGAGAACAGATCAGGACAGCCACCCAACTTCACCACAGGAATTTCAAGGACTGCTGCCTCTGTTAGAAGTTTAGTGTGGGATCTCCCCCATGGAGTCTGTTGGGAGTGGAACGTGGGGCTTATGTGTGAAGAATTCTGTTGTAATCAGTCAGTTATAGAAGTTGGTATACGACAGTAGTAATGAACAGGTGATGTTTGTAAAAGAGGAGATAAGTATCTGCTGTCCTAAGGGGTTTGTTTTTCCTTGCAGACATATGAAGAAGTTGGTGAGGATGCATTGGAAGGTACGTTTCTTGAATTCTATATTGGAAGTTGTCTGTTTGTTCTGCACTGATTAGAGATAGTCTTTCTCAAATTGGCCCTTAATTTCAATGTATAATGTACCTTTATCTTTGAGTAAATCTGAGGTCTCAGAAAATTTTGGAGTCACTATCACCTAGCGCAATTGCATCCTTATTTTACAGTTGGTCTTCCTAGTCTGAACCTTGTCAGGACTGAAACTAATTGACTTCACTAGCACTGAGATTTTAATCTTCTATAGTACTCAAGCTTTTATCCTTTTTTTAGTATTTTTCTGGTATGCTACAAAAAAATGTAGATACTCTGTTTTTCTGCAAAACCTTGGAATGTAGAGCCCAGGATACTTCACTGTGCTTTTAATTAAAAAAGAAATAGTTGACACACTGATAAAATATTTGCTTTAGCAGTCATTGCTTGAAATGGGCCACTAAACTATATTGGGGTTTTAGATATACATACAAGCAGTTTTCATTTGTTGATGCAAGAAAAAATCATTTCATACTAGCAGTTCCAAATTTCTGTCTTGAGTGGAATATGCACTATGTAGTGTATCTTATTCTTCTGTTTAAAAAACTTTAAACATCACATGCTAACAGTAAAAAGCAGCTGGATCCTTTACAGGATCCATAGGTATCAGTAATGATGTCAATGAGAAAGCCCTTAATGGCTTTTAAAAGCATTACAGGAGATCTTTCCCTTCTCTGAAACTAACACGCAAGTACTATAGTTAGAATATCTCTGGGGTGTCTTTTTCTCATTGATTAAATTAATATGTTAAAATTGAAAATATGAAATAATGTATTTCCAATGTATCATTCCTTTTTCTTAGTTCTGTTCTCCTGTGATGTGTTACAACATGACATAGCTAAAACCAAACATGTTTACAAGCATTTTATTCCTGATGTGTTTTGTAGTTTTTCCATTCAGTCAGCTAGTTGCTTTGCATTCTGATAGTCGCTTAATAACCTATGTGATTGTGCTACTCTGATAACCTGAGCTTCAGATTGTGGGTGTTGTTAGGTGAGCTTTACATCCTACAAGTGGTTTGGGGAATATGATGAGTCAACTATTGCAAAATGTTAAGTGTGCATTGGTAGCAGCAGAATTGTACCCGCTGGGTTGCTCTCCAGCTCCAAAATGCTTTACAAACATTTCTTCCAACTGTAAAATAAGGGACATATTCATACGTAATTCACTGGGTGTCTCTGGCACTTCTTTGGTTACTAACTGTGAAATGCTTTGAGATGTTCGAGGCTTTGGCAGACAAGCTCTGATGACTCTTGTTGCAGCAGCGTAAGACGCTACCATCCCCAGCCATCCACTCTGACCCTGTAGTGGAGGGAGCAGAACGGAACGTGTGCCTGCGCCTCCGCTCCTCCACTTTGCAGTCCGGTGCCTTAGTGCCAACCCACCTTCTTTGGCAGTTTAAGTGGCTACACTGGGCTGCGAGGTGCAGGTATGCGTTCTCTCTGTTGACTCTGCTATGGGGGCAATCACCACTGGAAAGAGGGACATATTTGGATGTAGTTACTTCTTAGCCCATTGCAGAAAGATTTATTAGGGCTAATCTAGTCAGGCTCATGATTGGGCAAGTGCTGGGAATGTTTTGTGACTCCCCCCACATTTGTTTTAGTAAAACTAACATGTTTACGGGGTGTGGGTTTTTTCCTAACACATTTGGCATGTGACCTATTTGTCTGTCTGTCTTTCCCCCTTTAGATCCGGCGCCTCAGTTAGACGTCCATGAAGCAAATAAACAGTTTATGGAACAGAGTGAAGAGCTTTACGATGCCTTGATGGACTGTCATTGGCAGCCTTTGGACACTGTCTCGTCAGAGATTCCAGCCGTGTTATAGCCTCGTTGCTGAGGCACTGTGTCTGCGTGACAAGCCTGCCAGTGCGCTCCAGACTGTTATGCTGCACCTGGATCCTGCAGTAGTGAGGGGTGGCCCTTTCTCCACCCAGGTCTGTTACTCAAAGTACAGGAGGACTGTGGCCTTTCCTGTACAGAATGAGTATCGTAGGAGCATCATGGTAACTTTTATTCATGGTGAAAGTTAGAACTGCAACAGTTTTATTCCTTTTGTCTTGAAATGAACTCTTAATACTTATTGGGAATTGTAATTTATAAACTTTCAACGAGATGGCACAGGGGAAAGACTCTACTCCAACGTACAATAAAAATGTTGGTCTTTTAAGTAAAATTACCCTTTGCATTTTGGTTCCTGCCCATCTTTCTGTTTTGCTGCCCATTTAACTGTCTTCAGTCATTTGATCCAACTCTCATGAATGTGTTATTTTAAAAAATCATTGTTGGATACCACTAAAATGGCTCAAAAGCTTTCTAGTGACTGGGTAAGGTTGCTGTAACTTGAGCACAGGAAAGAACCATGTAGATGAAAGCTTACATTCTGTTTAACCTAAGCTGCGATCTTGAGCTAGCAAGTTTATAGCTCGGTGTTCTTAAGCAATCTACCTGAAGAGCATTTTGGAGAGTAAAGACAGAAAGGAACGTTAGAAAACCACTACAGACCGATGCCTTCTACCTGATGATGTCTCGCACGTTTGGCTTGCTTCTCCACCTGTGTATGAGGAAATAATTCCCCATCAGTCAAGCAGTTTAAAACACTTTTACCAGCAACCTTGTTTAAACATTATTTTGTGTATCATGCCTTTTTTTCATTGTGGATACATCTTGATGGTTTCATTAAGATGTTAAGATTTCATAGCGTCTTCCACTGTCCTGTCAGAGTGAATATGGTGAAACTGAAGATCTTGCAGCAAAAACGGGTCAGAGCAATCTAATCGATATATTGTGCAACAAATTGTTGCTAACCTGGAAAGCAGTTTTCTACTGGACGTTGTATAATGGATGGACAAGCAATATATTTAAGCTAATATTATGTTGCATTAGAAGTGAAAGCGAAAATAATAGCACTTATGTACATGTTATAAGCCCTTTCCAGGCTTTTGTGCCTTAAACTCTTTGAGAAATAGGAACAGATAAACTACCTGTAATAAATGTCTATCCAAGGAATAGTTTGGTAACTGAAATTGCTACTGCAAAGCAGTTAGTTGCCTCCATGCCCATGTTGATGCAGAGATTTGCCACAAAATTTAAATACTTTCATAAAGCCTACTTCTACTACACCTTTGTTTGTGTCCATAATTATGATATAATTGTCAGTCTGTGGTCTTTTTATCAACTGCAATGGTAAACGCACTGTGAGTATGTCGGGAATGGTGACATATACTGGAGTTAGCGTATTTCTGAACAAGTAGAACTGGAGGACTGCTGGACCCCTGCGTTCTCATCTGCTGTGAATTTTTTCCTCCTGCTGTGCATCTGACTGTGCTGTGGGCTGTTAACAGTGTCCTAAGCTTCAGTTACTCTGAATTTAAGGAAATGAATGTTCCCTGCGTGTGATGGTGGTGCTTCAGAGGCAGCAGAGAAGTGGAAGAGAGCAGAGTGCTTTTTTTCTTCTGATGTAGCTGGTCAGCTCAGATGATGCCCCTCTTCTTGAAAAGTGCCTGTTCAATAGAGTGGCATTTCAGAGGTGATGTAAAGAAGGGGTGTTCTTTAATGTTCTGCTGTTAAACACTTTGTAGATTGTTCTGTTACTGTGCTGCAACAGTGCTACCCTGTAAGCCCTTCATTCTCCTCTTTTGGGCCTATCTTTCCGTATCCCCCCAAATTTTAGCTTTTATAATGCAGCCCTCCTAATTTGCTATGGGAGGTGACCTGAAGCCACACATACTTTATCCATATAAATTTATGCTGCTGTTCTAAGGCTGGCCAGCACTGCTGTCCTATGTAATATTTCCTAATGCATGGATAAGCCATGTCCATCTAAGTCTGTCTGTAAAGGACAGTGGAAGAGGTTATCACAGAGCAGCACCCTGCACAGACAGTAACGCTGTGGCAAAATCATTTTGCTCTCTGCAAAATGTTTTTGTGGTGGAAAGAAAGTTGGTAATGACTAGTCCAATCCATCATAATCCCCTAGTTTCTAGGAGAGCTATGTGTATACAGACCCTTGGGCCCTTACGTGGAGAGCAATTTGGGAGTACGGAGGCCAGCAAAGATTACCTGCTGCAGCCTGCTTACTGGTGCTGCAGAGCTTAAAATAACTCATGCATTTCCTTTTAGGAGAGAGCTTGATGTGAGGCTTTGGGCCACGTTCCCTTGATGTGTGAGCCAGCCTTTTGGGGTTGTTTGTGAGAATCTCAGCTGATGTTCTGTTGAGCTGTTAATCTCTCTGCATTTTTTTCTGCGTATCACTTACTCATCTTAATGTTCATTTTCAGCTCCCAGCCATTATTGCAGCATCTGAAGCACAGAGGAGACTTTCATGTGGAGCTACAAAACAGCTGGTCACCTGGATTTTGTAGGGTTTGTGTTTTGGAATCCAAGTTAAACAGAGTGTGGGATTTTGTTTTTCATGGACAGCTACAGGAAAAGCCCTGATTAATTACCATTTAGCGTAACACAAGATGAAAGACAAGGACTCCGTGTAGTAAGGTAAATTCTGCTTTTATCTTTATGTGCTAAAGGCAAGAAATCCAAGGCAGATGATATCACAGCTCACTGGGATTATGTAATTCTTGAAACTTGCATCAAAATCTGAGACTGAGATTATGAAGTATTCTGCCTTTCAGCATGCAATATTTACTAGTAATTACAAAAACAACTCAAACATTCTTACTATGTTACTTGATGAAGATGTGATGATCCAATTTAGATTAAATTGCAGGGACTCTCAGATTACCATTTGAGTTACATAGACTGAAAAATGTTTAGCCAACTGCAGAGCTGGAAAGACGTGGGCGTTCTCCTGTTGGGCATGAAGTGGTGATTTCCAAAGCATAAGCTGCAAGGCTGCGGGGTGGCGTGTTGCCATTAACATGTGTTTAATTAAAAGCTTGACAGTAAGCATTGGGGGTGGCCTGTGAGAAATTCTGACCAGCTTCCAATGGGATGAAGAGTTTGAAACCATTTCTTTAGCAAATGTGGGTCTGTACCAGCGCGGGCCCCTGTATGGGCTGAGGGGTCTGATGGGGGCTGGCGATGCTGTTTTCTGTATGTGCCTGACTAGAGAAAATTCCTGTTACTTGGACTGGTTTCAGGAGACGGGTTCATATCCCGCACACCAAGAAGTACCGAACACCCTTAGGTATTTCTCTGAATCCCTTTTGAGGAACAAAGATGTTTGACTCTGATCTTTGCATAGTCAGTTTCTCATTACTGGTTTGCTAATCCCCAGCTTCTGCTAAACAAGATCTGAGAGGAATTTTTACCTTCCAGCCTTGCTATCTCCCGGTGCATCTTGTAAAGCATACTGGATACACCAGTTTCTGGATTTAACTTGGGATTTGCTTAGACATGAAATTAATTCATTGGCAGGATAGGGTATGAATTTTAAATGCAACAGCCACATTTAGAAACTGATAGATGGAGCTAGTTCAGCAAATGTCACTCTGACAAAGCTTGCTTTACCTTTTTGCTTGGTTAGAGCATTTCTTCAGAAAATACCTCCTTTTTTTTTCAAGTTACTATGCCTTTCTTCCTTAGCAGTTATTCTCAGTCAGAAATCCCTTTTGTTTTTTTCCAAGTTACTATGCTTTTCTTCCTTAGCAGTTATTCCCAGTCAAAATGGTTTTACCAAGTGCAGTCAGTTTTGTAAGAAGAGGTTTGGGGTACTGCTTGGTACACACTCCTTTTTTCTCAGGTATCATGCTGCTTCTGCTGTAAAATTTCCAGGGTGAAAGCAACAGTAGATAACGCAGTTAAGGCGATATAGATTGAGAGCTTTACGTGGCCAGGGCTTGTCTTGTCCCCTCAACACATAGGATCCCCGAGGAGCCACAGGCACAGCAACCCACCTGGACCGCTAATTCATACTTGCTTTTCCTTACTGTCAGTTTATCGCAGAGCGCTTCCCTGCAGGTTGTCTGCTCCCACCTGTCTGCTGATGGGAATTGCAGCCTCTTCCAGTATTTTCTCCCCATCTTGCACTACGGAAGAGACTGATGTGAGGCCATACCGGGAGGTTTCATCAGGGCTTTGCTGACCTTGTGGTTGAGCATCCCAGAGATGCAGTGGGATTTTCTCTGCTTCTCTTTGGATCTCCATCCATCTTCTCATGATGGGCTGAGGTCTACTGAGCATCCATTGGTTTTTGGTATTGCTCTTTGGGGATTCTCCCCATTGAGCATTTGGAAGATTCTCTTCCCAAACACTTGATGTTTACCAAAGTTTGAATTTTGGGGGTGTTTTTTGGTTTTGTTTTTTTGTTTTTTTTTGCTACAGTGAGCTTCCAGTTTCTGTCCTGCCCTAGGATTTGACAGGGAGATTTCTAGGTTCATCTTGCATGAGTCGCTGTGCCAAGGAAAATCCAGGCTGTCCAGGGAATGCCTTGTGACTTGGCAGAGCAGCTGCAAGATCTGTGGAGGACGGGACCAGCTGCTTTGACCTGTCCTGAGCCTGACCTGACCTGTCCCTGCCAACTTTGACAAGGGCTGTTTTTAGAAGAACTTGGTCACGCAAGGTTTGGGGCTCACTTCCAGACTTACTTCTGCTTTGAATGGGTGCTGAGCTTATTTTGTTGGTAATGTGGCACGTCTGTCATGGGGTTACCAGCTTGAAAGGGCAATTCCTGAGCACTATGAATTTTTTCATTTGTGAATTTTGCTCAGAACAGATTAAACACTAACTGTTCTTCTCCCTCACCCTTTCTGCACTTTCTCCAGGGCTCAGGGGCAAGAAGCAGTCTCGGGCTTTTCAACCTGATTTCTCACGGTGGCTGTGGCTTCAGCATCAGTACCTGCAGAAATTTCAGCACTCCCTTCCAACCAGTTGGCAAGTGCTCTCATCCTTTCCGCCAATTATGGATCGTAAGCCAGGAACCTGACAGAGGTATTGTTTTGGCAGATAGATTTTTGCTTCCAAAAACTTACCTTCCATTCCCTGAGGGTGGGGTGTTCCCCCCCGCCTTCCAAAAGGGAGGAAGGAGCAGGAAAAACGTGGCTGTTGCCTTCACCTTTTCGAAGAGCAAACCCTGACACGCACCTTGCGGGGGGAGAGGAGAGAGAAATTGTCTTTGTGCTGGGTAGACCGGAGATTCATTTAGGTGGGGTGGGGGAGCGCAGCTCACCCCCCAGTGCAAGTGGGAGGGTTGCAAATCGTGGTCTTGCTGCGTGGGGGTGGGATTTCCCCTGCCTTCCCTGCTGCTGGCGGAGGAGAGGAGTGCGTTTATCCTTTGGGGAGTGGGGTGCCATGGGGGTGTCATGGCGGCGCGAACTACAACTCCCAGAAGGCTCTGCGGGAGGGGGCCCGGCCGCAGCAGCCAATCAGCGCTCGAGCTGCCGCCTTATAAAAGGCCGCCGCTGGCGGACTTCCCCCTCTCACTGTGATGGCGGCTGCGGAGCGAGGTTGGAGGGCTGCCGAGGTGGGGGGGACAATCCGCCGCCATCCGCCCTCCCCCGGGGCTCTCCCGCCGCTCGGCCCCGCCACATCGGTGCCCCGCGGGCTCCGCGCCCGGGCGGCGGCGCTTCGGGGCGGGTGCGATGGGCTATGAAGGGCAGCGCGGTCGCGGGAGGGCCTTGCTCCCTCCCAGGCCGGGCCCGGCGTGAGGGGAAGATGCTGGCGCTGCCGTGGGTGAGTGACCTCCACAGCGGGCTGAATTAAAAAAACACCCCGGGACAGGCGGCTGCTGGGTGGAGGAGCCCTGCGGGTCTGCCCGGCCCTATCGAAGCTGCGTCTGTCTCGGTGGTGTGGCAGATGCAGTCAAAAAGGAGCCGAGAGCGAAGGGTTTTTCCTCGACGGTCGCCGCTCAGTTTGAGTCTCTGTAACTGTCCGGCAACATTTCAGGAAAATACATGGCCCAGGGCGGGGGGGCTGGGCGTCGCTGGGCCCTGGCTGTGGGTGGAGGTGGTGCCTGGGGGTGCTGTCGCTGGAAGGAAGCAGCTACCCCAAATACCTGTTTCTGGGGTCCAAGTTGGTGCGCAAAGAGGTGGGAGGTGGTGGCTATCCCGGTTTTTGTGTTGTTTTGAGATCGTTTTTCTGTCATCTACCTGAAGCTCAAGAGTGCATTCTTCCCCAGCAGTATCTTGGCATGGAAGGTGATGCTAGTGTGTGGGATGGCTGGTGACAGCCTCAGCTCGGCGGCGTTGGGCAGGTGAGACGTGTGATTCAGGCTCTGGAATCTCCCCTTGTGCTGGGAATTTGATTGCCTTCGTAGCCTCCCTTGGCCGGAGCAGCGAGCAGCAGTATTTCCTGGCCCTCTGCTAGCAGATACTGCCAGCGCGGTGCTTGTTCCAGGTGCTGTGGATCCTCTGCAGGGCTCATGCTTGGGCTTAGGCCATGCAGAGGAGGATTTCCCGCTGGCAGGGCCCGTTACAAGTATTGATCCAGTCATGAACTGCAGACTCCCCTTATTTCCTGCTGTGTGGAGATCATGTATGGGTGGGATAAGGGGACTTTCTCTCCTCAGCGTCACTGGGCCTGGTTAGTGGCAGAACTGGGAATCAAATCTGATCCAAAGCCAGCAGATCACTCTGCTTTTGCTCCATCTGCTGCTCTGAAGCTGTAGCAGACATTCCCAGGCGAGCTCAGTGGTGACTCTGCATGTTTATCCAAGAGCTGTGGCTCTGTGCAATAGCTACAGGTCTCCAACAACATGCGAGAGCAACGGAAGGTCTTTGACTGCTGGGCCTTTTTTGCCTGTTGCTGTCACTCGCCCCTCCTATATATTTTCAGGAATTGGGGCGTTTCTTCTTGCAGGGCACTGGTGGTTTCTGGGTGGGGTGTGTCAATGACATGTGGTCGTGAGCCTGCAGCAAGCTGCTGACGTTAAGGGGGGTGTTGCGATGTCTTCCAGGGTTGCTTGGTGTTTTGGAGCTCGCTCAGTCGACGGCCTGCCTGCCGGATAGAGCCGAGGTGAGGACGTAATGCCTTTGTCAGAGCTCTGTAGCCTGTCCCTCCAGATCCCTTTCCCATCAGATCTGAATACCGATCTTGTGGTCGAAAAAGGAGGAAAAACAAAATTCAGACTGGTCTCAGCCTCTTTGCTGGTGCAGCCCTGCTCTGAGAGGGGCCAGTTGGAAGACAGTCTGTGTTGGCCTTGCTCTTTTGGGAAGTCTGAGGTAGAAGTGAAACCCCCTGGTCAAGAGAATGAATGAATGTTGGGCATAGAGAGCAGAGGTGCTGTGAAGATTTGCAGACTGGGATTTGCTTGGGCTGGGTTTGATGCGTTGATTCCTAGTGTACAGTGACCCATCGACTTCAGATACTTACTGTGGCTACGTTTTTTTCAGGAATTACTCGCTTAGTGGAAAAGGCCGAGCACTTACGAGCCCCTGTCCCCGGTGGAGGGATTCAGTTTGCTTTTCTTAGGGCCCGAATTGTGGGGGAAGCTGTGACATGGAGCACGTGAGTGTCCTTTGTGGGTAATTGCTGGGTTTTTGGTGTTTCATGAGTGGGATCTCGCCAGTCCTGGAGGACAAAGGACGGTTCAAGCTGACTGTGCCTGTGCTGGAAGTGGCCAGTCCCTAACCTGGGCTTTGCCAGGTGGGAATGATCAGCTTCATTAGTAAGGTTTTTAATTGGGCAGGCTATTATCTGTAGGGCAGAGTGTCCGTAAGGTGAGATCAGTTGCACTGCACCGGCCCTCCAAGCGCAGCCTGGTCCGTGATGACTCCTTTCTTTGGAGACTGTTGGATGAATCCTGCGGATATGGGGCTGAGGCCAGGCATGAACTAGGCAAAATCACCACCCAGTGCGGGGAGAGGGAACAGCCGGGGATTCCTTAACACAGGTGAAATCTGAAGCAATGCTGAGTCCAACCGGTCTTCATTCAGGCTGGACTATTTTTTTATCCCCTTTTCAGGTCTAAGTCGAGTGTGGAGCTGAGATGAGCCAGCCCCTGAGGCTTTCGGTGCTGCAGTGCAAGACTTTGTTCTTCTCCAGCCCTCTCCTTCTGGAAGTGGGAGCTCTCCGTAGCCAGATCCTGGCTCCTTCCAGAGCCAGGAGCTCCCCCAGGTGGGAACAGCCGCTTCTGTGCTCTGCTCCCCTGCGCCACAGGCAGAGGGAACTCATTTGGCTCCAGGTGCTGCTCAAGCTCCCGTTCAAACACTCTGCGTGGAAGAAGGGTCCCTTTTGTGGAGTTTTCTCAGGAGAAGAGCTCGGGGCAGGGTCTGGATATAAAATATTTTGAGAGTGAATAAAGGCAATCACTTGAAATCCTTGCTGTGTCTCCTGTGCTCGTGTTTGGGGTGCGTTGGGCTGGGGCGATGGCTGACTGCCCTTACCTGGGGCCAGGGCTGGGGAGTGCTGCATCCTGACCAAGCCCTGCTGGGGGTGAGACTTCACTCGTGAAATCTGAGCAACTTCTTCCACTGGAGGTTACCGATCCTTTAAGGTGAGTTTCTGTGGCTGTACCGGTGGGCTGGATCTTCAGGTGGCTGGGGCATGACTCGGATGTGCTCTTGGATGTACTTTTTTCTCCTGGAAATACCTGTATCTGACTGGGTTTTCTGTCCATATCTATGCTCCTCATAATGGCTCCTGCCCAGGGAACAGCAGTGTCTTACAACGTTGCCAGCATCCTCTCCTGGAGCCCTGGTGACTGGAGGTGCCCATTTTTTCACAATGGAGAACAAGTTGGGGGTGGAAACAGCCCCAGAGCTGCTGGAGCGAGTCTGTTATTCCTGGTCTCTGCACAGCTGTCGGGAGGGGGAGGGCCGGGCGATGGCAAAGTCCCCACGCCGCTGCAGGTGACCTGGGCTGTTTGCAGAGAGCACCTTTGTCCAGGGGACGCGGAGTCGGTGCCTCTGACGCCTCTTCCCTTCTCCCCGTGGGGACTCGAGGGCCCTTTTCCCACAAAGCTCGTCCCTCCCGCCTCTCCCAGAATTTTGGCTTCCTCAGGGGCACCAGCTCCTCTGCGGCAGCGTGTTCGTACGCCGGCAGCCTGGCTGTCCCTGTCTTTGTCACCGAAACCAGGCAGCGGGACAGAGCTGGGATGTGACACCACCAAACGCAGTGTCCTGAGGACAGGAGGATGAGAACAGACCTGGTGGCTTCTCCCTCCTCCCTGGGACGGTTTATTTGTCCGCCCAGGTGACTGTGAGGCCAGAGCCATCCCCAGGGAAGGTGCTGTGGGGTGGGGACAAGGGAGGAGACCTGTCCCCAGCCCCGCCAGCACAGCAAAGCCCAGCTGGGTCAGGATCTGCCAGCCTGGGACCAGTGAATCTGGCCTCGCTGGGCACAGCTGCCAGCATGGGGACGGTGACGAGTCCCCCCCAGGACCCCGACCCCGGGGGCCACTACCAGTTTCGCGTCATCGTGCTGGGGGACGCGGCGGTGGGGAAGTCGTCGCTGCTGCGCTGCTTTGCGGAGGGTCCGGGTGGGGGGGGCGTGGGGGCGGCCACCCCTTGCCCCACCGTTGGCGTGGAGTTTTACAGCCGCACCATCCCGCTGCTGCCCACCGGCAAGGCCAAGCTGCAGCTCTGGGACACAGCCGGCCAGGAGAGGTTCAGGTGAGGTGGGGATGGACGCGGGGACACAACTCCCATGCGGGACCCCAGCACCCAGCTGACTTTACACCCTGGAGTGGGTGTAAAGTCCCTGGCCGGGTGTGCAGGGATGGGCAGCGATGGCTCGCTGCGACCCTGGTGCTTTAGGGGCTGTTGCAACCTTGTGCTGAGCTTGCAGGAAAGTCAGAGCTGGTTTTGAGGGGCAGGCAAAGTGGCAGGGTTGGGTGCTGGTCCTGGGGTGCCGGTGGGCTGGGTGATTTCCTTCTGATTGCATCATGCCGGAGCCAGGAGCTCCCAGAAGCCTGAAAGAGTCTCAAATGGGGTGTGAAGTGCTGAAGAGCTGGGTGTTGTGGTTGGAGCGAGGGGTCTTGTGCTGCCCCTGTTCCTGGGAGCCCCAGGGTTGGTGTGGGGGTGCCCCATTCCTGTCCAGTGCTCAGCTCCATGGGCACCCACCCGTGGGTGCTGCCCCATCCCCGCTGCACCCTAGGCTGTGGGGGGGATGGAGGGACCATCCTCCTCCTCTCCTCTGGACCCCCAAACTCTGGGGTGGGGGGGATGCTGAACAGAAAAGGGGGTTGCAAATGGTCTGGGCAGGTGTCCCCTTCCTGCTCCCGAGGTCGCAGCTGGGACCCAGAAATCCCCTGAGCCCTGTTGGAGGGAAGAAGGTGTGGGACCTGGCAGGGTGCTGGGCTGCAACCCCAGCACCCCCTCCCAATTTGCCCAGGTCTATCACCAGGTCCTTCTACCGGAGCGCGGCGGGCGTGCTGCTGGTGTTCGACCTCACCAACCGGGCGTCCTTCGAGCACGTCCCCGAGTGGTACCGCGAAGCTGCCGGGGACTGGCCCCCCACCTTCGTCCTGGTGGGACACAAGTGTGACCTGGCAGCCGAACGAGCTGTCTCGGCGGAGGAAGCCGGGCACCTGGCTGCCACCCTGGGCATGGCTTTCGTGGAGACCTCGGCCCGCAGCAACCTCAACGTGGAGCTGGCCTTCCAGACGCTGGCGGGGGGCATCCAGCGGGCCCTGGGGCAGGGGGGCCTCACCCCTCACCGGGGCTGCGGCGGCATCAGGCTCATCCCCAGCCAGAGCCGCCGCCGGCCCCTGGCACAGGGGGAGCCCCGAGAGCGCTGCCAGTGCTGATGGTGACGGGGGGACACACGGGACCCTCCACCCATGGGGATGTTTCTCTCCCCACGCAGCACCCCTGCCCTTGGGTGATGCGTGGGGCTGCGTCCCCACCCTGGTTTGGGTTTATTTCAAGCCTTAATTTAGGGGCTCTGAAAAAAATAATATTCCCCTGCAGGAGTGTTTTTAATAAACCTGAGGCTTTTCTGCACTAAATAAAGGCTGTGCCGAGTGCTGGACCCCTGGCAGGGACACACCGCCGTGCTCAACCCATGATATGGGGGATGCTCTGCTTTGGGGAGGTCACTGGTGGGGTAACCCCCCCCCATGTCTGCATGTGGCCGTGCCACTTGATGGGCCTCTTGTCCCCGGGGCGACCCTCTGGGAAAATGGGACCAGGCTTCCCCCCGAGTGCTTCCAGCTGGATGGAGCCAAGATAAAGGGAGCAAAGGGGCTCCAAAGGGGCCACCCAGCACCCATGGCAGGGCGGGAACGCCTCCTGGGTGGAGGAGCGGAGGCACCCGGTGCTGCCTGCCTGCCTGCCTGCCTGCCTGTACATGCGCCCGACGCGGGGGCGGCGGGTCCCAGCCGACGGCGGAGGCACCGATGGAGCCGCGGTGGCAGTACCAGTTCCGGGTGATCATGCTGGGCGACTCGACGGTGGGGAAGTCCTCGTTGCTGCGGCGTTACACTGAGGGTGTCTTCCTGGACGCCGTCAACCAGACGGTGGGGGTGGACTTCTACGTCCAGTTTGTGGAGCTGGAACCGGGGCTACGGGTGAAGCTGCAGTTCTGGGATACGGCCGGGCAGGAGCGGTTCAGGTGGGTCCGGCTCCGGCCACGGCATGCGGAGGGGTGATGGAGCCAGGGAGGTCCTGGGAGAGAGTTGTTCCCCTGGATTTGGGGTGCTGGTGGGATGTTGTGATCCCAAACCCGGGGAGGTCCTCAATACAGCTGCATCCCCACTGGTCCGCTTGCTGCAGGGAGCCCCACGGGTGAGGAACCACGATGCCCGGCACGGGGCAGGCTGCGGGGGCCCAGATGAGCCAAAGCCAAGGGTGTCCCCAGGGAAAGAAGCCCTTGGGGTTGCCTTGTGAGCCCTGGCTCCAGCTCCAAAGTGGATACGGGACTCCCCAAGCAGCCCTCTGCCCCACCAGCTGCAGAGGGACAGGGGAACGGGCTGGCAGCCCACTGGGAGCTGGGCAAAGCAGCTTCCTCAGCTGCCAGGAGCCTGCCCACCTCACTGCTGGGGCTGCCCACCGCTGGCCAGGCTGGCTACTGGGAACAGGGCAGCTCAGGGGATGTGGCTGCCGGGCACGGGAGAGTTCGGAGGCTGTAGCTGCAGGGGACGGATCAGCTTTGGTGGCTGAGCAGGGACAGAGCTGCCTGGACCGCTTGCTGATACAGCAAAGGGGCTGATTTTTCCTCCTTCACATGGTGGCTTGGGAGCACTGTGCCGGTTGAAGGCAGGAGGACATGGCTGGGGCTGCTCTGCAAGCAGGGGAGATGCTGCCCAAGGCGGCAGAGGGGAGCCCCGGGGGCTGCTCACCCCATTTCTCTTTGCGCCCCAGATCTGTGACTCGCTCTTACTACCGCAACTCGGCCGGGGGGATGCTGCTTTTTGACCTCACCAACCGCGCGTCCTTTGAGAGCATCCGGCAGTGGCACCGGGAGGTGACGGACACGGTCCAGCCATTCAGCATCGTCTTCTTGCTTGTGGGGCACAAGAGCGACCTGGCAGGGCAGCGGCGGGTGGGCAGGAAGGAGGCGGAGAAGCTGGCAGCCTCGCTGGGGGTGCAGTACGTCGAGACCTCGGCCAAGGATGCCAGCAACGTGGTCCAGGCTTTCCAGATGCTGACATTGGCCATCTACCAGGCACTGCAAACAGGGCGGCTGGCTCCCACCGAGACATGGGATGGAGTGAAGAGCAGCGTCCCGCTGCCAGCACCGCTCAAGGCTCGGGCACCAGAGAAGGAAGAGAAGCGGAAGAGATGCTCGTGCTAGAGCTGGGGACGCTGGCAGCCTGCCCCGGCGGGGCTGGGACACGCTGGGCTCTGCCCACCGCGATGCACAGGAGGTGAGGCAGAGATCGAGCAGCCGGGGTGTAGGCAGTAGCAGCAAGCGACTGCAAGAGTGCATTAAACACCCCCTGTTCACCTCTCTACCTGCCCGTGTTTTCCTGGGGAAGGGGAAGGGTGAAGTTGCCCAGCTCGATGGGGCAGCAGTCTGCAGCGAGGCGGGTGTCACCCGCCTTCCTCTATTCTCTCTCCAAATTCCCTTTCTAGAAGGCTGTCCCCATCCCCCCGAGAGGAACCGCAGGTCCCCCCGGTCTCAAGTCAGATCAGTGCTGATCTGAAACCCCTTTTACTACACGACCCGTTCACTCAGAGCTGATCTCCTCTGCGCTCGGGAGGGCAAGGCGGTCTGGTTTGAACAGCAGCTTCTTCTGGGTACCCCCAAGCTGGAGCAGCCTGTGAACAACTCTACATCCCCCCCGGCAGCAGCCAAGTACAGCTGCGGTGCAGGAACAGCTTCCCTTCGCCCTAAGCGCCCGTCCGACTGGCCTCACCCAAGAGGCTGGGTGTTCTTTATCGCACTCCCCAGGCTCCTCAGCCGGCACTGACAGGAGAGGAGAGAGCCCAAACCAGCTTCTGAATTACTTCAGGCAAGGCAGTTTTCCCCTGTAGGTTACCAGGAGGCCGAGGGCCCCAGCAGCAAGCCAGGCAGGGAGGACAGCCCCACTCCTGCCCGCGGGTCCACAGGACCCTTGCTGTTGTGCAGGGGAATCTGCAGAGCTGCCAGCTCCTCTTCACCACGACAAACGGCCTGCGGCTTCTCTGATGGAGACCGAGCAGAGCAGGCAGGAACAGGCAGGGGGACGTGGCCTTTCTTTATGTCCCAGGCAAGCAGAGAACCAGGTTCACTTTGATTTCTTGTCCTCAGTCACCATGTCCCACTCCTAATGGTCTGAATGTCGAAGCGGTGGGCAAACTACTCACACTGGGCTGGAGGTGAGGAGGGGAAGCCGCCTGCCCAGCCCTATCAGCATGGCAGAGGCCGGCCAATTCCTTCCACTCACTCTAAACCCCAGGGCAGGAGATCTCTTACCAGAACAGCACCACACGCAGAAACTAGGCAACGTGGAGGCTGCCCATTTCACTCGCAACCCCTCCACGTACTGTTCGAAGAGCACGACTGTGCCATGGTTTTAGATTAATAATTTCTTTATTCATGTAAAACAAACGCAAGTATTTATAGAAACACTGACATTACAAAGTACTGGAGCAGGTAGGGGCAGGAAGGAGGAAACAAAAACCTCTACAGATGCTTCTAATACTGTCCCACACAAGATCAAATGCTCTGTCCCTTGGATAATCACTTATACGATAAACCACTTTCAAGTCACAAATAAAAGTCTTTGTTTTGAGATACGTTGCACTCTTAGGGGGAATGAGGAAGGGGGCGTAGAATGTTTTTGGCAGATCTCCTCATAAAGTCAAGATATTGCTGCACCATTAATAAAAAATATATGCTTCTCTGTAAAGCATTAAAAAAAATATCCCATGGATGGCATTGTGGAGGCTTCAGTGAAGAGGCAGATATCCCAAAATGCAGTGGCGTCTTCTCCCGGCTCTTCCCAGGGGCTATTTCTTGGTAGTTTTGCGAATCAATGCCATTCTCTGTAACAAGAAAGAGAAAAACGTGGGAAGCCGAGTGTCTCAGACAAGGTTACTGCAAAACAACCTGTCACCATGCAGGAACAAGGTATCTCGGGTTCTCTCAGGACACTGCCTGACTTGTTTCCACACAGGTCTTTCAAGTCTATTTGAATCTTAATGGGGTCCCAAGCTGGAGCCAGAGTAAAAGAAAGCATCTGTGCTCCTCTCCTCGACACCTGGGGCTGGCAAGTGAAACACCGACACTAGTGAGGGGCAGTGGGATTAAACAGAGCACGGGATCAAACCCCACTTCAGAGCCTCCTCTCTACCCAGCAGTTGCTGCAGGAGCTTCAGGAGAGGAGATGCAGTATCATCCATGAATTGTGACGGCTCCCGCAGGGCAGTTTCCTCCCTGGCTCTGACTGTACACTTAAAAAGCGATGGCCCAGTTCAGTTAAAGCAAAACTAAGGGGAAAAAAAAACCCAGAGCTGCTCAGCTCCAATCTACAGCTGAAATCCCAGGACAACGGTGTGCTCTCTGCTACACCTTCCCAGGCCTTTAGGCTTTTTGCAGCTGTTTAAATTCTTGCGGTGGCGAGCAGCCCAGGCTCCTGATCCTTACACACAGACACGGCAGGTGCCGTACACTGCTCACAGAATACAGTGCTGGGCCGCAGACATAAAATGGCCCCAGGAACTTGAGCCACAGCCTGTCAGAGCCCTGTGGTTCACCTGGAACATCCAGAGTCCTGGAGCGGTTCGAGGGGCTACACCCACATTTAACCCCCCATGCCTGGGTATGGATTTTCTAGTGAACCAGAGGAGTTGTCAGTGTGTTTTCATTCCCTTCTGCACAAAGACGGAGCACAGGACCTGCAAGGAGGCAGCTGACAAGCTACTGTCTGCAGCATTCAGCTGTTTTTGAACCCTTCCAAGCTGGGCTACCCTTTAGACAGTGAGTACTGCTGCTCCTCTTGGGGCACTGAGGAGCCAGAGCAACCTCAATCCTCTCTGCACAAACAGGCAAGGAGACTCTGGAAATTATTTCAAGTCCAAATCACTTGGAAGAGGCTACAAATTCACATTGTGCCAGAAGTCCACAACCACCCTCCCTGTGTCAGGCTTCTACCATGTGATTCTCAATGTTACTGAGGGCTCTTTACCTGTTTGTGAGCTTCTGTAGTGCAGGCTTTTTTGTAGGGCCTGATTTCTTCAGAACCAAAGCCCGGGATCCACATGTTCCACTGACGCTCTGGAAGAGAGAGCATAGGTCAGCACACTCTACCACAACCGCCCACCGCAAGAGCAGCCTCGTCATCACGAACGTACCGGCAGCACGCCTGCCTGGAGCCAGTGCTAGAGATGTGCTGGTGATCCGCATACCAGCTATAAAAGCTTCACAAAAGCAGAGTAGCAGAGGGCTGCACAGCATTAAACATGGTAAAGACACAGTCCCCGTACTAGGGACCTTCCAACACAGGCTGATGGACAGCTACAAACCGCACAACTGCAAAATTTGGACAGGGGATGGTTAGGGGCAGCCAGCCCGTTCATCCCCTGATTATTCAGGCATTATTAAGCAGCAACGGATCTGTAGCTACTCACAGGTTTCCACCCCAACCATGCCCTGACTTCAGAGCATGCACCCAGCTCTCAGCTGAGGGGGGGGGCGGGGGGGGAATTCACTCACCAAGATGCAACTGGACGTCTTTCACTTCCAGGGTGTTTGACTTGCGATGCCGTGCAAGCTGGCAGGCAGCCGTCACCACGCTCTCTATGAAATCATCAGCGATCTGCAACAGCATCTGTGGCAGAACAAGGACAACAACCAGTCTTATGAGTACTGAGCAGCTGAAATTATGCAGAAAGCATGAAAATGAACCCTCAGAAGCTAGTATTTCAAAGGCGTTTGCTACAATTGCTGTTTTAAAATCCTTTTTGACACTGGGATGCAGAAGCAGACACAGATGGCTGAAGGCTGCAGCGAACATGAGAATACAGAAGTGTAAAATGAACCAACCCTCCCCACCTTGAACAAAGGGCCACCGATCCGTGAAAAATCCCAGATTAGCTCTTTCCACAGCCCCTGCTATGGGTTGGTACCTACTTCCTCCACATCTTCATCCAGCTGCTCGTTCGGATCCACCTCACGCACCAGGTCCTGCAGTTTCTTCTTGGTTAAAACCTGAGTGTGTGGGAGAAGTGGAACAATTGGCTGCCCTACTTTAGCAAAGCAGCTGCCCACACAGCCACAAAAGACCTCCTCCCCCACTACACCGGAGGCCCAAGTCACACATGTTGACACAGCCTATCAGTTCAGGAATGGCAGAGATAAGAAATATCAGGTGTTAAGGAGTCATTTTCAAGCACCAGTGGTTGCTCTGAACGGAAAGTGGAATGCAGCAGGCCAGGATAAATAAGTCTCCTGCACTAAACTGGCACTAAAATGCCACTGGCTGAAGTAAGGCGGCTGGCAAGAGGAGACAAAGGCAAAACAAGAGGTCTTAAGAGGCAGACAGCAAGTGCAAGCAATGTATCAGCAACTAAATTTGTGCTCAGGGCACAAAGGAAGTATTTCCATGGCTCTAGTGCTTATCAGCTTTAGTGTTTCAAATGGAAAACAGAGATACGGAGTGCTGGGTTATTCTAGGGCAGAAGGCAGCACCCTCTCAGCCCAAACATGGCAGGGAGCAGAAATTTTACTGGTGCTGAACAACAGCAGGTCACTTAAGTCTTACAGGATATGGATGAAAGCTATCACCGCTGATCTGTCAGCCTGGTCAGATGAACCAGACACACGTGGGAAATTCCTGCCCTTCCTGGTTCCCTTACACTAATGGTGGAACTGCTGTGCCTGTGTTTGTGTCGGAGGACTAGTACACTTCCCAGAGAGGTCATGCAGAGGCACGAAGCCCGCAGAGAGATCAGTGTGTATTCCTGGAGCACTCGCTGGGCAGCAACATATTTTATGCACGTCAAAGACTCCACACCACAACAAGCAAACATGCAAGTCAGCAGCTCCTGGTAGTGACGCTGCCTCTCGCACCACCCCAGTAAGATGGAGGCTACAAACCTGCACTTCTATTTCTCCCGTCTAAACCACATTTTAAAAGAATTTCCCAATCACACCCCCAATATACATTTTCCTGAGACTGAAAAAACCTCTACACCTACAGCGTCCATACACCATCCAGCCTGAAAGTGCCTGGGAGGGAAGAAATACATGAAGGTGTTTGCTCACTCTGTAACTGATACTTTAATAGACACTAAGTTTTTGCTGGTAGTTTGAAGAAGGAGAGGAATTAAGCCACAGGCAGGTCTGAGCATCTCCCCCACTGTGCTAAAGTCAGGGATGAAATTACCTGGTTGCTTTCAGGGCTGAGCCTTCCTCCTCCGCTGGGCGTGCCGGGCATCTTTGCCACAGTGGTGCTGTTGGCCATGGAGCTCTGTGGGGGAGTGCTGGCTGGTTCCGGCTTTATCGAGGAGAAGTTGGAGAGGTTGATCAAGGTAGAAGGGCCAAACTGGTTCATAATCTGTTGGGCTTTAGCTTTTAGATCATAAAGCTTATCTAGGTCCTGCTTCTTCTTGGGGTTGTGGGGACCCAAACCAATCAACTGGAAAAGGAAAAAAAGCCACAGTTAGCAAACAGAGAAGGAATTCAACGGGGTGATCACATCTCTGTTCAGAGTAAGCCACAGCAACCTGACAGGGACCAGAGGTTTATAGAAGATTGGGTCTCTCTGGATGCAGCAAGAAAGGGAGGAGCAATGTTTAGAAGAAGGGAAAACATTCCCTGGTATATGGAATATGAAGTTTGCCTCGAGAAGCACAGCGGCTGTATGCACTGCACTAACAGGAGGCTGGAGCTCTGCAGCGGCACTGACCCGCCTGCTCATTCTTCGGGCTGAATCCCACACGTGTGTCCACCCCTCGCCCTCTGGTCAGGGCCTTTCTGAATACATTTCACTTGGACCACAAACAGCTTCGAGGAAGAGACCACACAAAGAAGATTTAACTAAAGGACACAGCTTGCTCCCGCAGCAGCAATGCAGGGGAACGGCAGGCAGTGTTCAAGTCTTCATCTCCACACTCCACGTGCCTGAGACACAGGCCAGAAGATGACAAGGTTCAGGCTCCCTTGGGTGTCTGCCGCAGGGTGGAGGTCTCGTTTTCGGCAACACCACACTTCAAGCCCGGTCTGCAGCAATCCCTCGATGCGGGCTTGACAACATAGGGTTCGTTTTCAGTTCTGAGTGCGCAAGTCTTGGGTACTCAGAGGTAATGTTGACAGAGAAACACACGTGCACTCCCACACCTTTGATTTGTTCTTCCCACACCGGGCAACCGACAGCCACAGTAAATGAAGTCAGATTTACTGAGCTGTTATCAGTGAACTAGAAATGAGTTGCGGCAGCTTAACTGGTTACTCAGATCTTCCAGGTTCACCCTTTGGTGCCTGAAGTTATTCAGGTTATTGGCCACTGAGCTAACACACAGCCTGACTGGCAACTACTATATTTCATGGCTGGAAGGCTCTAAACCCCAGACTTGATCAAGTTTTGCTCTGTCCTTACTGCTCTGTAAAAGGAAACTTGTCCAAACCCTGGACCTTCCACCCCCACAACCGCTGTGGGCAGTGGCAACAGGTCTGTCACGTGAAATGAGCATTTAAGGAACAGTTTGATGTAAAAGCCCCTTGTGCAGCGGGTGCAACAGCTGCTGTTGGGCCCAGAGATGGGTCAGAAGCAGCTGCTGAGAGCAGACGCCTCTTCTGAAAAGCCTGTGCATCACAGGGTGAACTTACTCATGAGAGAAGAAGGGAGTTTGTTGGAACAGCTTTACACGTTCACATGCAGAGTGATGAACAGAGCGTCTGCTACCTGAGCTACAAATAGACATTTTCCCCTCATCAGAGCAAGCTTTGTTAGTTTGGATTAATTCATACCAAAACACAAACCAGAAATCACACAGGAGTGCTTAGAAGCGGCTGCTTTAGTGCTTCATGCCAAGGCAGGCTCATGCACTGCCGCACCTACAGACACGGAGCCCTTTTAGGAGAACTTATATCCAAGACACACTTCGGTAGCAGCCTCAGCAAGTTTCTAGCTCAATTTTAACTGAATTAATAATGAGAAACCATTATGCTCACACCCTAAAACACCTCAGCTGGCGTTTCTTGACAAGGAGCTCAGCACAAGATCAAGAGGGACTTCAGTGTGCTAGTCCTGGTTTTAGCTTAGGCTGATCTTGGGCTGTTCACCCCACACTTCACTTTACAAATCCACAAAGCAGGAATCCTTACCCACCATGCAGGGCAGAAAGCTCCGAAATCCTTGGGCAGAAAGCACTTTATTAGCATAAAGTTGTTTTGTTCATTTAGTTCTGGATCTTATCGCACCCTTTGCGTGCCGTTAAGATCACCAAACACAAAACTAATGGGATGCGCAGATTCCCAGGACAACTCCCGCATGCCGGCCCCACGGCAAGCCCCGGGTGGTTTACTTACAGCTATCTGAGTGTCTAGATCTTTAATTACATCAGCAACCGCTGTGGGGCCAGCGAACGGAGAGGCCATTTTCCAAAGCCTTCCCAGTACGTCAGCAGTCAGCGTTAACCTACTCTTCTCTCATTCCTACAGGAATACCAGATATTTTTCGTATCACCCACTCTATAATAAGATCGTGAGAGGAAACAGTTTCACACAAGAGAGCACGCGTTGTCCTTACTATGGCGCAAGAGGGTTTATCTATATAGAAGATATTACACGATCACCACGTGAGCGTACGGTGCTCCAGAGGATGAGGCATCTCCCAGGATCCTGAAGCGGGAGCAGAAGTTTAGTCAAATTCCCTTTTTCTGTTAGAAGACAGAGTATCTTGGTATCTGCTGTCAGCAGCGACGCAGAGGTGAGCCCGGACCTCTGCAACAGCAGCCTCCCTCCGTGGCAGCAGTAGGTGTGGTGGCCACAATTAGCACCACTGACTTTCAGTGATCTGCTGTAATTCATAAGTGGTGGTACTACACACAGGGTTACAGCTGTAATTAAAGCCTACGTTAAAGCCAAACAAACCTTCAGCGCATTACCTGGAGTGCTCAGGGGGCTCCTGCTTCCATTAAGACATAACAATTTTCACCAAATATTTAAATAGGTTTGCAAAGGACTGTACAGTCCAGGCATCTCTTTATTGTTAATAGAGAAAACTGGTAAAGTTCTTGGGCTTTGCTTTAGCTATTATAAATGTGAGACAAAGCCCTCCCTTACGCTGCCAGAGGAAGCGCCTGTTACAAGCACTTATCCATTGGGTGCACTAGCTACAAAGAAACAAGTAAGAAAGTCCTTTTTTCCCCCCCCGGATGTGTTTGTTAGCTGCTGACGGGTAACTCAAGCCTCCTTTCTCCCTGACACACAGCTTCCAGCTTCGCATTCTACCCCCGAAGCACGGACACTTGGCATCTAGAGAGGTGACAGCTCCACACACGCCGCTCATAAGAGTTTTTCTTCCAGCATCTTCCCAGCCACCAGCTTAAAGAGGTCACCAGCCCCACGACTGCCCACGGGGAACGCCGTTACGGGACCGAACGGAACCTCCCCGTGTTAAACGTTTCCAGGGGCTGCCAGAGAACCGCGGTGAAAGCCGTCGGGAAGAGCCAAGGTCACCGACAGCCGCCCGGAGCCGACACCGTCCCGCACCGGGCCGGGCCCGGCCCGGTCTGTCCGGGCTGCGGCGGGGGGGACGATCGCCCCTCAGGCCCCGGCATCCATCCCTCGCCTCCCCCGCCCCGGCTGCTGACCGCCACACGCGCGAGGGGTTGGAACACCGGCTGCAGGCCTGGCCCGTCCCGGGGAGCGGCGGGGCACGGCCTACCGCGCCCACCCCCGGGCTCCCTCCCGGGTCCCTCCGTATTTTAGGCCGTAAAAGCCGGTGTAAACCAAGCGGAGCCTCCCACCACCGGGGGAAAGACACCCCCCCCCCCCCCCTCCGAGCGGCCCCGCCGCCGTCCCGTACCTCCCCATGACCCGCGGGCGGACCGAGGCACTGCCGCCGGCTACGCTCCCTCCGCCGCGCACCCCCGAGCCCTTCCGGGGGCACCGCCCGCCGCCACCCGGAAACGCTTGTCAGTCTACAGTGCCGCCAATCCGGATGGAACGTGGCTGCGCATGCGCGCCGCCCTGCCGCCCAAAGGCGCCCCCTCGCGTCCTCGGTGAAGGCGTGGCGCGGAGACGTCCCAGCATGCCCCGCGTGATTTGCATATCGCTGGGAGGCCAGCAAGGCGGGAAAAGGGCGTTTTAGGGGGAAAAAAGCGCAGAAACGGGGGAAAGAAACGTAAAGGTGAGAGAGAAAGAGAGGATGAACTGGGATCCAGGCACTGTCCTTCGGACGTGAAGCGCTCCTCGCCGTGACCTTGGCAGTACCCTGGCACTTTCCGGTGCCGGCGGGCCGAAAGCGCAGCTTTAAAAAGGGCTTCTGCCGTGCGTGGCACGGGGGGGCCCCACGGCCGCCCCCGCGGAATCGACATCAAGAGATTTCGGAAGCACAATTTTTGAAGTGGGGGTCGCCGGTAACCGCTTGTTCCGGCGCCCCGGACAGCGTGAACGGTAGAAGAGCGGTGGGGGAAGGTGGCGTAGAGTCGGTTCCCTCGGGGGGTGGTGAGATTCGCGGTTACGGAGCGGTGAGCGGTGACGTGAAATCCCAGATGTATATAGGCATATATATATATTTAAATAGGATTGTTTTTAGAAAAGATTCCTACCCGGGGAGGTTCACGTTCGGAACACGGCACCCACGCCCCACCCCGGGACTCCGCCGGGAGCCGCTGGGCTCCCCCCTTCCCCTCACAGCTTCACAAGGCTTCGTGGTACACGTGTGAGAGGGGACAGTCCCCCAGCTGGAAGCGGGAGCCCTCCGGAGAGGGGACGTCCCCAGCGGGGCTGGCAGTCTGCTCCGCCCGGGGGGTCGTGCAGGCCCCGCCGAACCCCCAGGGAGGGAGTTCTCCGGTGGGCAGTTCCCCAGGCCGTGGTGCATCGTACCGCAACGGGAGGGAACCGGCGTGCCCCGTGATGCCGCAGGGGCTCCGGCGGGTGCCAGTGGGCTCAGGCTCGCTGAACGGCGTGGCGTACTCGGGCTCGGGCGGTAGCGGCTCCGCGTACTCGTGGTATTTTCCCGGCACGTCGTAGTGGCTTACGACCAGCGGCAGCGTGTAGCCCTCGTCCGGGAGAGGCTTGAAGGTGGAGGGACCCGTCTGGCTGCTGGGGCTCACCTGTACCAGGTCTGGCTCGGCGTACTCTGCAATGGGGTTGCCAGGCTCTGAACTGGGGACAGCAGGGGGACTGTCCCCACAGCGGTGAAGGGCTCATGGTGGTGTTCCAGATGTGGGTGGGATGGGTGGAAAAAATGGGCACATCTGGACCCCCAGGGCTGGGAAAAGCTGGGCAGAGGCATGTCAAAACCCATCTAGAGCAGGACATCCACCCCACGGGGACGGGCACATCCCTCTGCCCCAGCACAGAGCAGGAGTCCTGGTGCCCTGTGGCCACCTTCCAATACCCAAGCCTGTGTTTGAGGTGGAATAATAATAATAAAGATAAATGATAAGCCCTGCCAGGGTCTCCCTTTTGCACAAGACCATGATGCAGGATGGGGGTCAACCAGAGTGGTGCTGGGGGGGGAGAACGGGCAACTGCTGGCTGGGGTTAAACCATGACAGCAACCCAGGGCATCCCCAGGGTGCAATGGGTGAGACACTGCTCCGGCTCTGGGCTGAGAGGCACCCGGTTGTGCCCCGATGTCCCCATTACCTGGCGAATGGGTCAGGCTGAGGTCCCCCGGTGCAGCCGCCGTGGGGAAGGAGGCCAGCGTGGAGCCGGGGGGTGGCAGGCTCTGCAGGGAGCACACCTGGCTCGACTCCAGTTTGGGGTACCCTGAGTAGAGAGCAGAAACCCCGGGTTGTCACATACTGTCCCTTGGGGACAGACAGTGCCTTGGGGGCAGACTGGTGCCCCCAGGGGTGGGACAGCTCAGGGCTCGGCTGCAGCACCAGTTAAACCAGCTGTACCCCTCCTGATTTTGGCCCTGAGGCACAGCAGGACCCCCGGGGAGGGGTTGGGGACCCTTTACCTTTTGTGATCCCACAGTTCAGCTCCGCCGCCGGCTTTCTGCCAAGGGGAGAGCGAGATGGGGGTGAGGGGTCCCAGCCACCCCATGCCCACAACCACCCACCTCCTTGCACCCGCTGCACGGGGGGCTGCACCCCCCGGTACCCGGCAAGCAGCCGAATGGAGCCACCGGGCTTTGGGGAGGCGATGCCGGGTCCCCCAGGGCGAAGCGGGGAGCAGGATGGGACCCACCTTTTCCTGCGGCAGAGGAAAGCCAGCAGAAGGAGGCTGGAGCAGAGGAGCACGAAGCCACCAATGAGCAGCATCACCAGCAGCGTTGAGCCTGGGGAGGGAGGGCAGTGTCAGCCCCCAGGTGCTCCATCCCACCCCTCTGCACCCATGGGTGCCAGGAGCCCACCTGGGGCTACCAGAGAAGGAAAATCAACGTGTTGTCACGGGATGGGCCCGAGTGGGTCTGGTGCCTGGAGCACCCACAAGATGTTGCTGCGCCCCAGGGACAGCCCCCTCATGGCACCCACCTGCCTTCTCCGGGTCCAGGGCAACGCCGGGGATGGGTGTGCGGCTGGCCGGGTGGCTAGTGGGCACAGGGACCTCCTTGGGGACACTGGGCACTGCAGGGCAGAGCGGAGACCGTGAGTGTGGGACCACCACTGGGTGCACGGGGAGGCAGACGTCCCTGGGGGACGTTTGGGATGGAGGGGGGTGTGGGGTGAGAGCTCCCACAGAGGGGCTCACCATAGGGCCGGGGTGCACGGACTCGCGCCATCTGGCAGCCCACCAGGGCCACCTTCAAGGCCACGTGCTGGTGCCAGCTCTGGGGTGTGATGCGGATGTAGCGGGCAACAATGGGGGGGATGAAGGCATTGGAGACCTCCCCGTGGCTGTCAGAGTTTCCTTCAAAGACCTGCCAGAGAGGGCGAAGAGGGTACCAAAGGCCGAATGTCCACAGGCAGGGGGTCTGCAGCCCCCCTGTTGTCCCCTCCCCATGCCCACCTTGTCCTCCTGGCCACCGCTGCCTCTGTAGGGTCTCCAGTTCTTCCCATCACGGCTGGAGGAGACCCGGTAGGATGTCACGTAGTAGTCGTACTGCTCGGAGGAGCCCTTCGTGATGATGCCTGTTGGTGCAGGACCAAGCCCCGGAGGGGGGGCCCTGCTGTCAGCCAGGGGGCTGGGGCTGGGGAATGGCTTGGGGGGGTCCTCCATGTGCCCCACTGTGCCCCATTGCATGGGGCAGAGCTTTCCCAGCTAGAATAACCCCATCTCTGGGATACCCAAGTCCCTGCTGGGAGGGGACCAGGACATGTGACCCCCCCTGGGGACACCCCCCCCAGGATTCCCTCTGGCCCTGGGAAGGGGTTTAGGTGGCAGATTCGAGTGTCAGACCCCCCATTCTGCCCCCAGGAGCCAATAACCTCCGGCCCCGGCTGCCAGCCCTGCATTCCTCCCTCCTCCAGCCTCCGGCCGGACAATGTCCCCATTTTCCTCCCCGCGGTCGCCAGCCGCTGCACAAAGCCCCCGCTTTCGGCAGGCTCCGGCCGAACAAAAGGCGCTCGCTGGCACCAGATGCAAGAGCATAATATTAACTTGTTCGTCCCAGAAACGGCTGCAGGGGGGTGTGGGGGGGCAGGGACAGCAGGGACAAAAGGGGGACGAGAACAGCTGCGGGGGGTTGGTGCTGTCTGCATCCCAGTTTGCACCAGTAAAACCATGGCACAAGGAGGTCCAATGCCTACTGGGAGTTATGGGGGGGGTTGCAACTGCTCTGAGCAGTTTTTGGCGGGGGGGGGCAGTGAGGCTGGCACCCATGTCACCACGGGAAGGACAGTGGTCAGGGTGGCACAGGGACAAGGGCAGCGGTTGTCCCCCCTCTGATGGCCGACACTCACCTGTGACGTTCCTGCGGGCGCCCAGGTCCAGCTCCAGCCAGGCAGCCTCAGAGACGGGTTCGGCCGCCCAGGAGTGACCGGTGGTGCCAAGCGCTGCCCGTTCGGCCACCCAGACTCGGTCCTGGCCCAGCGCGTCCACCTCGTGCCACGAGGATGAGGCGTTGAAGGCGGCCACCTCCAGCGCGTCACCACAGGCTGGCAAGGGGAGAAGACAGGCTGGGAGCCTGGGACCCCCAACCGGGTACAGTATGGGGGGTGGCACTGGGTTTGGCAGCCAAAATTGTGGCTTAATTTCAGGGGAAATGGCAAAAAATACCTTTGTGGAATATGAGCCGCTTCTCAGAGAGGGATCCCCTGCAGGGAGGAAAGGTGGGGGAGCATCAGACAGGGGGTCCCCAGGTGAACAAACCCTGGGGGTCTCTGACATCGAGGGGTGGCAGGTCCCCAGTGTCAGCACGGATGGGTCCCACAGCTGGGTGTGGGGTGTAGCCGGGGTCCACAGCCCCTCCTCGCCCACCTTTTGGAGTGGAGCCCATTGGCGAAGGCTGACTCGTAGAGCGTGATCCCCTTCTCCCGGGACAGGGTGACCTGCCCGCCCAGCTCGTCTGCGATCACCCCGGCATGCACGGCCGCCTTGCACAGCACCGAGGTCTGCGGGGAGCAGGGGAGGGATGAGAGCAGACCTCCCCCCGGAGTGTGCAGGGGCAGGCACCCCATGGCCAAACCTACCCCCTGCGGTCTGCTTGGGGGGTGACAAGCGGTAGCCACACGTGCTGGGGACCGTCCCCGGGAGGTGCACCCATGGGTGCCGACCTGCGCAGCAGGGTGCCCCATGGGGCGAGCCAGGCTCTGCACTTACATCCCGGTAGCCCTGGCTCGGGTTGCCCCAGATGTCCCCATCGATGTCCTTGCAGCCCGCGGGGCAGTACACACTGAAACACACAGTGACGGGGGGGTCAGGAGTCGCTCCCATCCAAATCCCCTCTGCACACCCACTTTGCTCCCCATCCCGCCTCGGTTGCACCCCAAGAGCCCTGGGGCGAGCGCAGCCCGAGCGCCCAGGAGAGGGATGGGGATGAAACCGGGGCTGATGGGGACCAGCAACGATGCCGGCATAGGGGATGCCAAAGTAGGGACCACTCACACCCCCTGGCCACTCACCTGACATGCTCCTGGGTGTAGTGGGTGCCTCGAACCAGGCAGGAGACCAGGTCTGCAAGGCAGGGACACCCCAGGGTGAGAGACCCCCACCCGCTCGCCTCTGCCCCACCGCACCCCATCCCAGAGGGGCAGGGAGGGATGGCCCCTCAGTCCCTGCAACCATCGGCCCCACGCCAGCAGCTCTGCCTGATATTGGGGTCCCAGCTGACCTGGGGGTCCCAGCTGGCTGGGTAGCCTGGGGGATCTCCCATGTTGTGCCCCCAGCCAGGGAGAACATGGGTCTTGCAGGAGCTTGGGGTGATGGGAGCCTACCCTGGGGTCAGCAAGGAGCTCCCTCCACCCCTGGCCATGCCCCCCGCCGTGGGCCAAGACACAGCCAAGGCGGGGGGGCTGTCTCCACATCCCTGGGGGATGCTCCCCCCCTACCTGGGTGCTGCGAGGTGGCGTAGGACAGGAGGAGGCCTCGTCCCGAGCGGTGGCTGGTGCTGTTGAACAGGACGGTCACGGTGCTGGAGTTTGTCACCAGGAGCGGGGCGGCGGGGCCAGCGTTCCTGCAGTATGGCCCTGCCGGCAGGGACGGGGCCGTGGAGAAGATTGGGGCTCCCTGGGGACAGGCATGGGCACCCAGACCCTGGGGTGTCACCTCCCCTGGCACAGCCCTCCCCAGGGTGGGGGGGGGGGGGGCCCTCAGGTGTTTGGGCTGTGCTTAGGGTGGTCTCAGCCCCAGGGCGGCCCATCCCCAAGGTGGTCCCAGCCCCAGAGCAGTTAGTTACATCCACACTATGGGGGGGACCTGGGGCACAGCCCCTCACAGCTCACCCTGTCCCCACTGTCCCCCACCTCCTCCCCGCTGCCACACTGTCCCCCCGCAGCCACAAGCAGCACTGGGGGAGATGTACAGGGGTTGGAGCTGGACCAGGCTCCCGGGGGAGCACCCCAAGATGTCCCCACATCCCCAGGCAGGGACAGACAGGCTCCTGGCTGGGCAGGGACCCCCCCCCCCCCAGGGTCTTTTCATTCCACCATGGTTGGGACAGCACAAGTGGCCACCAGCCCTTATCGGGTGCCTGCCACCACGTCCCCCGCTACTGGGGCTGGCATGCATGGCGTGGCCCCACAGGACCCCAAAATGGGGGCTACGTCCCCATCCCCTCCCCATCTCCCCTTTCACAGGCACCGCTGAAGCTGCCTTCTAAATCCCCCCGTTTAATCCAAATTAATTTGCAGTCTCCATCTCCCTGATTAAAACTTCGGCTTAGCAGGCAGGCAGGTTCCTTGGGGACATCTCTGGTCCCAACTGGGAACAAGACGTGGCCCCAATCCCCGGACTGCCATCACCCCCCAGCCCTGCATCTCTCTGCTCTGTGTCATGTCCATCACCAGGGTCTCGGGGCACCCAGAGATGCTTTGAGCAAATGCCATTGTTGCCCTGGGGACAGGGAGCTGTGTCCCTGTGTCCCCATGGTGCTGGTGGTAAAAATCCTGCTATGGGGTCATGCCATGCCTCAGTTTCCCCAACACCCACACCCTCGCCCTGCCTGGGTCGTATTTAACTGAGAGGTCAAGCGCAGGGGATGTGGGACAGGGCATGCGTGCAGGGATGTCACAGGGTCACAGACGTGATGGAATGGGGGCTCTGCATGATATGCAGATGACACGCATATAAGATGCAGATGACACACATGCACAGATTTCCCACCCACTGCCAGATGCCAGCGCTGCCCTGAGCAGATGCTGCCGCGTTGCTGCCACGTCTGGTACGGTGCCCACCCAGCCGGTGGCTCCGGAGACCCCCTGGGTGCTGGGGACCCCTCGGCCGAGCCGTGGGCTGGAGGCTGCCATCCCCGCGGGGACCCCGGCACGTCCCCAGGCAGGATCAGCCCAGGCGCCAGACACCGGGTCTGAGTCAGCAGGAGGGAACCCACAGCCTCCGCCTGCTCCGGCTGCTTCCCGAAAAACATCTGGGACTTCTCAAGGGCCAGCGTCAGCCGCAGGCGAGGGAGCGGGACCCTGGCCCAGCCCTGCGTCACCCCCTGCTCACTGGCACGCATGGCCCTGGTGAAGGCACCTAAAGGGGCTGCGGGTGCCCGGCCACCTACCCAGCCCCCCACCGCCTCTGCCAACCCCCCAGGAGCATCATCTGGGGGTTCTCCCCTTCCCACATTGCTCTGGGACCCCTCAGTCTGGGCCAGTCAGTCTCTCGGCTTTGGGGTCCCGGGAGATGGGGACAAACATGTCCCTGAGGTCACAGCAGAGGGGATGGGGACTGGGGACCTCACATACTGTCACCCCTCTGGGTACCAACCAGGAAAGGGTGAAAGTCCTGGAGAACAGGGAAAAATCCCGGTCCTGGGAGCAGTGGTGGATCCAAGCTGGCTTCTTTCCACCCCATGTTTCCCATAGCATCCCCTGCCCAGCCCCTGCCCCTCACCAGGCCTTGGGGCGGCTCCTCCACCCTACCCCATCGACACCCCAGCAGTGCCGTTTCCCCCCGTCCCCCCAAGGCTCCCCCCCCCCCAGCCCCCGCCATGCTCCCAGTGCTGTCAAATCCCTCCAAGACCATTAAATCTCTCCGGGAACATCCTGGAACCATTTGGGCAGTGGCTGGGTGGACGGAATTAATTAATTGGCGGCTGCATCTGGTCCCAATTACGTGCCAACCCCAATAGACCCCTCCTCAGGTACCCCCCTCCTCGGATACCCCCCTCCTCAGATACCCCCCCCCAACCTTGATGAAATCAGCTAAAAAGCCAGTTTTTCCCAATATTCTCCTTATCCAGGACTTCACATAACGTGATATCACACACACACCTCCCCACCCCATCCACACCCCCTTGGCAGGCGCTGCCTCAGTTTCCCCTGAGACCTCCCCCCTCCATTACCGTAGGCGGTGCCAGCCTGGGGGTCGGCGAGCAGCAGGGAGCTGCGGGCGCAGTGCTCGGAGGGTTCCAGGTCCACGTCCCCAAAGGCCAGGAGGAGGGAGGTGCCCGGGGGGGCACGCAGCTGCCAGCGGCAGGCCGTGTGGTTGGGGTATGTGCCCGGGTAGTTCTTGGAGCTGAGGGTGCCGCTGTGGGGTGTCAGCAGCGTGTGGCCGCAGCCGTCCCCTGCGGAGAGACCGGAGCGGGGTGGGGAGGGGTTCAGCCAGGCTGCTCCCTGCCTGCCTCAGTTTCCCCACTTGGCGTGGCTCCAGGGACACCCCACGGGCACCTGCAGCCCCTTCAAATGTTTTCCTCCTCTGAAACATCTTTTTTTTTTTTTTTTTTTCGCTTTTCTGGCTGCTCCCCCCCATCTGGGACAGTCCCCGGGGGGATCCAAGAATGAAGCTGCCTCAGTTTCCCCCATAGCCACCCAGCGCAGACCTGCACCTCCAGCTCCTCTCCATCCCCCAGGGCAGGAGGACCCCAATTTTTGAGGGGATACAAAAGGATGCAAGGAGGAAATATCCTCCCCTGCCACGGGGCTGTACAGCACCGAGCAGCCCCCGGCAGCCCCCGGCTGCAGCCTTGACCTTGAGGATGACCTTGGGCAGCTGCATCCCCATCGCCTCCTCCCCAGGGCGGTGCCAGCACCCACCACAAAAGGGGCTTTTCTCCTGGCTCACCGCCCCCGGGCACGAGGGAATATCCTGGAAACTTGAGTTGAAAGCACCCGATGCCAGGGACCGGCCAGGATTTCTGGTGGAGCTGGGGCAGGATTGGGGAATGGGGAAGGGCAGGGAGGGGGGAAAGCATCGCTCAGCCCCTCTGCATGGGCAGGGGAAATGTGGGGGTCCATCGTTCAACACCCCCCCCCGCATCCCCAAAAAGCTGCTGCTCCTGCCAAGCATCATCCTGGCACAGCCAGAAAGAAAAGCGATGGCGGGCACGGCTTTGCCCCCGCCTTGGCTCCCCTTGCCGTCGCTGGGAGACGGCACAAAGCACCGGCAGGGGAAAATCCTGCAGGGATAAAAAAAAGGGGGAGGCCAGAGGCAGAAGATGTCAGCCCCCCCACAGAGCCCACTCCTCCCCAGCCTGCGGAATGGGCTGCTGGCTGAACCCAGGGCGATTTATCCCCGGGCAGGGATATAAATCCCGTTTCCCTCCTGGCTGGGCAGTGACCCCCGTTATGGCAGAGCTGGGAAGGATCAGGCCCTCTGGGGCTATAGGGGGGAGCACCAGGGACAGGCTGGATGGGGGTAACAGCATGGGGGACCCCGGGGCTGCTCAAAAAGTGGCTCCCAGAGGGGCTGCTGTGTGGGTGGGAGAGAGATTTGGGGTATTTGGGGGGAGTTTCGGGCAAGGAAGGTCAGAGGCATCGGGATCTGCACGAAAACCCTCTCTGGCCAGGACAGCTTGGCATGTGTGCCCGAGCTGGGGGTCTTGGATGGCCCCCCCCGCTCCAACTCCACGCCTGTGGGTGTAGAGAAGCTGGGGGGACCCATCCTGGGAAAAACCCATCCCAGGAAAGGAAACCCTCGGTAAAAGCATCCCAAGTGTGGCCGGCACATGCTGGGCAGGCATGCCAGAGATAAGCCAAGAGCTGCAGGCGCACCTGGGGATTTGGCTCCGAAGATGCTACCGAGGGGCCGGGAACGGTGAAGGCAGAGCCGTGGGGGGGCTGGGGACTTGCTCCCAGCCACGGGAACATCCTCCCCCTGCCCCCCCCAAAAATCAATTGCCAAAAAAATGGGAAAACTGGATTTCCGCTGGGTGAGGGTGAAGCCACGGCCGGGCCCCCGCTGGGGCCATCCCTGCCAGGGATTTGTTTGTTTTCTCACAGGATGCGGGAAAGACACAACAGGGCGATGCTCCGGGAAAAGTCCGGCACACTCCCGCCTCTGGCACGCTGCCAGCCCCGGGGATTGCTCCCACGTGTCCACCGACAGGTTTGGGATCCGGTGGATACCCGCTGTACGATGTCTCCCAAATCACACTTGGGGAAAGCAGCGGGGTTCTGCCCCCGGTGATCCCGTCCTGGCCTGTGCCTCAGTTTCCCCTCGCTGAGAACGATGCTTTGGATGTCCCATCCTTGTCTCCTCGCTCTCGGATGAGTTGGGGACAAGCAGCGCCAGGGAAAATCACATCCTCAGGATAAGGTTTGGCTGAACGTCTCCTGGGGGCCTTCCCGGACCCCAGCGGGTGCAAATCCCCCCAGAGCGATGCTGCTGGGGCCCGCAGCATCCCCAGGATGGAGCCCACTGCCCAGCTCTCCCAGCCGTTCACCGTAAGCTCCAGCGATCCTCTTAAACTGGGACAGAGTCGGGCCCCTGGGGATTAGGGATTCCCGGGGAAAGCCCTGCGGGCAGACGGAGGGGACCCCGGGACCCTGGCACCGGGAGCGGGGTAGGACAGAGGGAGCGGGGGCTGCGGGGAGACCAGGCGGGTGCGGGACCGGGGTGATGCGGGGGGGTGGAGGCGGCGGGGAGCTCGTCCTGTCCGGTACCGGAGCAGAGGGATGGCGGGGACCCCGTCCCGGATCGGTACCGAGGCAGGTGGCCAGCGGGGACGCCGTGTGGTCCCGGTCTAGGGACAGCGGGATACTCGGATCGGTACCGGGGAGCCCATGCTGGTCCGAGCCCAGTCCGGACACAGTCAGGAGCCCGTCCCGGATCGGTCCCGGGACAGAGGGGAGCCCGTCCGGTCCCGGTCCCGGTCCCCATCCCTGACCCAGTCCCGGTCGCGGCACACGACCCATCCCGGCAAGTGAAGGGGAGCCCCGGTGGAAGCGGGACCCCCGGTGCCGTGTCCCGCTACGGTGCCCCGCAATCCCAACTCCCCGTCCTGTCCGCCGGCCGGGCGCAGCCCCAGCGGGCCCAGCAGAAGGCAGCGGCGGAGCAGCGCCAGCGCCAGCGCTCCCCGGGCCGCCCCGCCGCCC